GGTCGAGGGTTGCGTTTTCGCTCGGACGAGAAACGCTTGAACACTTCGTCCCTGCGATGTCTTCGATGAAGCGATTCGACGCGCTCGGTCTTGCATTTTGAAGACGGAGACGCGAAGGAGTCGAAGGGGCGCGATTGTTGCAGGAGGCCTACGAGGATCGCAACGGAAAAATTTTCACTCGAGAAGTCTTGGACTGCTTCTACGTCTCGAGAGCGAGAGTCCCCCATGGCCGAAGGCTCGTTTCTGCCCGTCCCGGAAGAATTCGAGGGATCGGACGTGGACGCGTCGTCGGACGTGGAACTTTCCTCTCGCTCTCGGTCGACCGACGACGATCGTTGCAGCCGCTGTCGGCTGGAGTCTGTCGAGCGGGTAAGAAATCAGGAGGAGAAACTCTCCTCCTTCGAAGACCTTTCGGGCGGTGGGGACGGAGACGTGCTCGGGCTCGGTGGAGATGGATCCCAAAGCGACAGGCATCGGATGAAAGCGGGTCGGCAGGGAGAAGGCGTGGTTCGTTGCACGATCTGCCTCGACGACGTGCCCGTGGGTCGCACGTTCGAGCTCCAATCTTGCGGCTGTCGATTCTGCTCGGAGTGCCTGTCGATGCATGCGAGCCTGCAGGTGCGATGCGGGGTCACGGACGTTCCCTGTCCGGGCGGTCGGTGCAGCTCTCGGAATCGCTTGACGGACTCGGATCTTCGCCGGCTCTTACCCGAGGAGCTCGCGAAGACGTATCACCGGCTTTGTTCCGATCTGCGAGTGGACCGGGATCCTCGTTCGACGTGGTGTCCGACTCCGGACTGCGAGACCGTCTGCAAGACTCTTCGCCCCGTTTCCACACCTCACGAGGTGCGATGCAAGAAATGCCAGCTCCGATTTTGTTCCCTCTGCAAGGGAGACTGGGTGGGACCTCACGCGGGCTGCGGGAGGAAGCCGATGGCGACGGAGGGATCCCCGTTGGACGTGAAGCGCTGCCCAAACTGTTTCGTCCCCTTGGAGCGGTCCGAAGGCTGTGCCGAGATGCGGTGCCCGAGATGCAAGCATCTGTTCTGCTGGCATTGCCTCGAGAGCCTGGGGGACGACCTGCTCCTCCGTCATTTCACGAGGGGGGAATGCAAGGGGAAGCTGGGGCACAGTGCCATGGAGATATTCTGGCATCGGGCTCAGGTCCTCGGCTGCATCGCTTGTTGTGGCCTGTTCGCCCTCAGCCTTACTCCCTGCATCGTTGCATCCCTACCGTGCTTCTTCTGCTGCTGGTCCCCCTTCAAAGACTGGTTCAGGGATCACTGGGAATCCACGTTCGGACCCATCGTGAACGAAGGGAACCGGGGCCAGGAGGTCACGCCTTTCGTTGCCAGCGATCTCCCGTTTCCACCCTCTCAGAAAGAAACGAGCGCCAGATCGTGGGTGAATGCCAAGAATTTGCCTCAAGCCACAGGTAGATCTGAGGTCATAACCACCACTTCTCCGGTTTCCTCCACCAGTGCTAAATGATAGTTCTACTAATTACCAGCAAATAATCATCCCCCCCCCCCCCCCCCCCCCCCCCCCCCCCCCTAAGGGGGGGGGGGGCTGATTATTTGCTGGTAATTAGTAGAACTATCATTTAGCACTGGTGGAGGAAACCGGAGAAGTGGTGGTTATGACCTCTAGTCTCAAGGCTCTTCTAAGTACACTGGAACAACGCCAAACTTGTGCAGTTCAACCAACTGCCTGAAAATTCTTATTGCGTATTTTCTCTCACGTTAGCTTCAACTCACTTTGCACTCTCCCCAAAAATGCAAAAGATAGGTCAACATGATAATTGAACTTGTTACTCTGGTGCTCAAGAGCTACATCTCTTATCAGATGATAATGAGAAGCTACAGACATTCAGATCCATCATCCTTATGACCTAAGCAAAAAATAAAAACAAGCAGCAAACAGTAGAATCAAGATTTATAAGAAAAATATACAGTATGAGGTCGACATTCTTGAAAGTACTGTGTGTTGGCAGGAAAAGGTGATTTTTGAACAATGCAAAACACAAAAATGTTGAGTAGGCGACAAGTACTCTTCACAAAAAAAGGAAACCATTAGAGAAAATAATTTTGTAATGAGAAGAAATGAAAAATAAGCACAGTAGAGCTTATGGACTGGCCATAGCACTGCACATTCCATTTACAGTCCTATGCACTTTCATTCCTGAGTAGCTGGGTCCTGCATACCCAGTCATACATATTACAGAGAATTTCTTGTCAGCTCCATCATGCTGGCATTAGAAACAGATCTACAGTATGAGATACACTTCTACTCCTCAATCACATGTTTTATGCACAAGATGCTGATGTTTGTATTAATCACGGCATAGGAGGAAATGGTAAATGGGATTCACAACAACAGCACCATGAGTGGCAATTTTCATTTCTCATATCATGACTACTCTATCCCATTGTAGGCAGACTAATCCTTAATTGTATATGAATGCATGCCAGCATCATGTTAGCACTCATCCAGAACAAAACAGAAATCTGATATTAAAAAAAAAACAATGCTAAAATCTTAACTCTTGCTGCATGGTTCTGGTTAAAGGATCATAATTAGGGTAAGTAACACAGAAAACAAATCATGGTCCAAAGACATTTTAAGGAATACACAGAATACAAAGATTGAGATCTTCTAGAAAAGTAATATAAGAATACACACATATATTTCTATAAATGAAAGAAGCTGTTAGTACTGTGAGAATCTTTGCATGATTCAAGAGAATACCAGTAACTTTAAAAAACAAGACATGGAAACAATGTAAAAAAAATTGTAATTTGGCATTTAGCCTGGTATATAGGGGTCTTGTCCCCTTCTACCAAGATCTGGAAGTACTATAATTGTATCTGCTGCAACAACAACATAGCATATAGGAAAACAGGAAATCCAGATCATACAAAGCATGAGATTCAAATGTTGCAACAGCGATTCATCACTGTTGACAGGACAACAGATGAAAATGAAAGTGTGAGAGAGATTTGGCACATGGACGAAATGAGTACAGGAGGAGGCAAACAAACAACAGCAAGTCTATCACAATGGTGTTGACTGAAGAATCACAGGTGAAAAGGAGATCGAACATCAGAGGACGATGCGTGCTGGAGTGCTAGTCATGGGCTGATGTGAGCTCCCTCTACGTCTCAAGAAAGCCCGTGAGCCATGGCCCTGATAAACCCGTGACAGAAGAATGAGAGCAGAACCAAGAGAGAGGCGTGATGGTGCTGTGATCCCACCAGGCAGTTGGATCAACACAGTGGCTACAGCTGCCACACCATCCTCACAAGGTTCAATTGCAATGGGGGCCACCTCAGGGGATTTCCGCTTGTGTCTTCCACGTGCTGGAGAGTAGAGACTTGGCTCAAGAGAGAAATTCTCCTCTGCATATGGGGAGTCTATCACAGTGAGAATGGAAGCTGAAGGGCGCTTGGCCATGTGAAGCATTTCCACCACATGGCGATGCTGAGCTCTTCTTACATCAATCACCTGGCAGACAAGGAAAAATCAAAATTAAAACTTGTGTCCTATCACAACTCTAAACTTTGCTTTTGTATGCACACTCTGTACTGCTGATTGCCATCTACAGGGTGACCCAAAAGTCTGGACACAGGTAATATTACTATTACAATACACATCATCAATGAATGTGCTAAGATCGACGGAAGTACAGAGTTACTGCATCGTGTTCATGTGAATCTCGCAAAGCGCATCGAACTTTGCATCGCTAATGATGGGCGCCATGTTGAAAATGTTATTGAATAAAATTACTAAATTTTCGCCTATGTGTCCAGACTTTTGGGTCACCCTGTATATGCTTGCATATGATTGCTCTAAGTACAACAAAATGTATTTAAACTGACATAAATTTAAAATAAACATAGAATGTACTCACCTGCTTCACTTTCCAGGCTAGAACACAGAAAGCAAGAAACAGAAAGAAACAAGAGAAGAAAACAGAGAAGAAGACAAAGAGGTCAATCCGTGGCTGATCTTGACGAAAAAAGATGGAACCAAAAGTCTCTTCGAGGGCTGTCCCATAGAGGAGGAGGTAGAAGCGAGTGCTTCGGAGATCGTGCACATCCTCGGGAAGCGTGATGACCACTCGATTTCCCACACCTTCCACACGCAAGAAATCCAGTGGACTTCGTAAGCTGATGTAGGTTGAAAGTCCTGCAGCTGGCCGCTCAACCAATCGATATGGTGGAATGATCTCGTTTGTCATATTTGGCTTCATGTCTCCATTCTGCTCAGCCAAAATTGCTTCTCTTTTCTCCCTTAGTAGATCTTCCAATGATATTGCATACCTCTCATCTATCACCACCTACAAGAATTCATGTGGTCCAAATTTTTGTCATCAAGAGCTCTCCAGTAATTGTTTAACATTCCTCCAACAAGACAACACATTATACCACTGTAAACTGAGAATATCAGTGATAGAAGCATGTATGGGGAGGAGTTTTAAAATGTCAGGTCCCCATCCACCTATAGCATTTTAGACATTGACATGTAGGCACTCAATGATTTAAATACCAAGGGTGGGAAAGTAGCAGACCTCTATGGCAAAGATATGAACTCACCATACCGATGATTTCCCACTACACCTAATTGGAAGCCAAAAATGTGAGAGCAGGGTAAGTCTAGTTCAATGCATCACATGCAGCTTTCTATCACTGACACGAGTCCCAGTTTAGGGCAGAATAATGTGTACATGACACAGGGGCTACATGTCAAACAGAAGGACCACCAAAATCAGTCTTACCTCATGGATACCTGATGTCCTGTTCACAGCCACAAGGAATGCATCTTCTTTAGGACTCACATACAAATCCAAAGATCCCTGAGTAACATCCACAGTAATGCGGATGTCAACATTGCGGAATTTTGGCTGAACAGCAAAAAAGACAGTTCGACCATACTGAAGCCCATTGGGTTTCCTACCACATTCCTCTGCAATTGCAAATGAAACAAGTCAGTAAGTGATGACAGGGTCCTATGTCAAGTCTTCAGGTATGGCTGCATAAGAGTAAGAAGCTCACTCTGAGTTTCAGGATCAAAACAGAAGTCAGTGTCCACTGTCATTTGCCTATAACATTGATGACCATCAGTTGGGGTTCCAAGGAATAGGTCCCGGCATTTGGAACATTGACGCTTCCAGCAGGGTACAGAGACCGTGACACTGAGCAAACCCTTTGGCTGAGCCAAGGGAGATTGGGGTGGGGAGGATCGGCAAGATGGGTCAGATTCTGTGTTATTGTGACAATCACATTCCTCTCCAGTGACTGGATCACAGGACCACCCATGTCCATGACATTCACACCTACAGCCAAGGAAACATAATAACTTTTGCAATGAAACACTAAGGGTCAAGATAAGTGACTGATCAATATGGAAGGGAGCAGGAAGTCAATTTCAAGGGGAAAAGCATGCACAATGACTTTGACTTTGGATTATTCAGATACTAAAATTTTTATCCAAGTTAGGAAGGTATCATTTGAAACATCAAATAATTAATCACTCTTCTGCTTCTACACTATCATGCTTATATAGGAAATAATATGAAGCACAGAGCAAAAGGCATTCTCTGCCTCTCCCTCCTTTTAAAATAAAATAAATCCAAAAAAATTATCTCAAATGATTCATCCAGGTTTTAATTACATATGAATTGTAGAATCTCAGCTTGAATTTTGGTCTGTAGATGAGGAGAGAATGCCTATATTTGTTGGCATTTGTGAGCACTCCCACAATATTTGGAAGGGAGTGGTAACTCATGTTTGATTGACCACAGACTTGGAATTCCTCCACCCTTCCCTGTGACAATTATTTGTAAACAAAAATAAACTCACTGGCGACACGTAGACCTTCTATCTTCAGTTCCTCTGAAGTGGCCAGCAAGGCAAAGATCACACATGTCACCAGTGGATGCATCTGCACAATTCAAACACACTGCTCCACTCTGTGCCCCCTCAGTCAGAAATCCCATCAGTTCAGAAGCTGTCAGTTCTGTCAGGTCCTTCGGATACTGTGAATAGAGTGAGACACACTGGAGTGCTATGAAGTACTAACAACAAAAGGATAAGAGGTTTTATGATGAAGGATAAATATGTACCTGTCTGGTGATGTTGGGGAGAAGCTTCCGATCCAAGCATAAAGATGAGTGATTGTTGCAGAATTCCCAGCATGGTATGCAAGTATTGTTGTTGCGAGGATCCCCAACAAACAGTGGCTTGCATTTTTCACACTGGAAACCCTACAGGGGACAGAAGTTTGGAAAGTGAATGACATGATAGTGACTATTATTTTACAGGCATATGTAAACAACAATAGTAACTTTGTTCTTGCTTTTGATTGACCATTGATGTCTCCTTTCATATTCATCTGCACCAGTGGCACATAAAACATCCATTGCAATACTGCATGCATTGAGTATGTGACTTACCATAGTGTTGTTGTGGCAATGCAGACATTTTGACAACTGATCAGGCCCCTCACATTCAGAATGGCCATTGCATTGGCAATGAAGACTGCAATCTGTCCCCACATATCCAAAATTACATGTACAAGTATTGGGTGCTGTGCATCTACCATAAACACAGCCTTGTGGACACACAGGGATGCAACGATCATCATCTTTTCCTCTCCTGAATTGAAAGCAATGATCAAATCATGACATAGTGGGATGTTATAACAATGACCAGAAACAGCTGCAGAAGGGTATTTGGACTCACTTCTCATTTAGTTTGTAACCTGGAGCACAGTCACATCTGAAGCCTTGCTCCTCGTCCAGACAAATTTCAGATTTTTCTTTGCACGTATGATGTCCATTTCCACACTCATTCTCAGGAGGGCAGATCATATAATGCCATGAAGAAAATTCTCCAGCACCACTCCTCAGGAACTTCCCATCTGGTACAGAAATGGAATTCATCAAAACGAAAAGATCCTCAAAGTAATCATAGTAGAGTGGACCATACCAAAAAGACTGGGAATGATATTGGAGAAATTTGCATCACTGCAGTTTCCAACAGCAGGACCCTCAAGCCCTCCTTCAATGCAGACCCCAAGACCATCCACTCCACCTCCTTCAAGTACACACCACCTAAAGGAGGCCAAAAAAATGATTCACTTAATTCAACTGCCAAGAAGGCCAGGGGAAAAGACGACAAAATGAGAAAATCATTTCTGACCCGCATTTGGGATCTGAGAGACAGACTGAACAGCGATCATGATGTGAGCATGATAATGGACAGGAGCCTTCTTCTTCAGTTTCCACATCTTGCAATGGATGTCGAACATGTCCACAAACCCCTCCAAGGCAAGTGAGCACTTGAAAGCTTGGTGACAGGCACTGAGCACATTATTAAAGACAACAGGTTAGTTTGTCTCCAGCTTCATTATCCTTTTGAGCTAGGTCTCTTAACCCTTTCAGACCTGGCATCCATTCCAATGGACATTGCATTTACATTGTGTCTATGGCAATTTCCTAGGATTCTCGTGACTTTGCGCTCCATATTATGCTACAATGGGCTCAATTATGCATGGCTCAGTTGTATCTGAGGCCTTCTTTCACCCATTAGTTTTGCAATCTTCAGTTACTTAATTGAATGCTTAATATATAATATATGGTATGATATGGTAAATTTATAAAAATATGAAAACTACATATAAAGCATGAAAATTTAAATTACAATCACGAAAAAGCTCAAAAATGCTAAAAAGGATATTATTCCAATTGCGGCCTTAATTCAGGTCTGAAAGGGTTAAAGTATTGAGGTTAAACACTATTCTGCAAAATGACCAGAATGGATACACTCTGGAGAAAGTCTCACCAATCTTGGAGATGGAGCCCAAACACAGTGATGCCATCCACCTTCAGCTCCAGGCAATCGAAGACATGATTTACAGCCACCCTGTGGAGCTTGATGGCATTTGGTAGGACAGGAATTTGGGGGAACAGATAGAATGGCTGTTGATACTTGTTCCTGTATCCGACGTATGCAGTTCCAGTCATATATAGGCATCATGTACAATGTTGGGAAGTTTCCAACTGCAAAAGAGATTAATGCAAAGTTCAAGAATTCTCACTAAATGATACACACTGTAACACTACATAAAAGTTAAAACAATGACAAGAACTCACCTGATCGGAGCACCTGCCGTGTCCAGATGCACTCTGGATCTTTGCTAATGCACTTTTCACAATCTGAGGCTCCACACTGTCTTTCAGGACACTCTCCTGGTTCCTGAATAGGTTTTTTATTCCTCCCACATCTCTCCCGTTGACAGTCATTCCCAACTGGAATGCACTTCCCTGCCTCACAGTCACGACACCATTGACATACCTGCATGAAAACCAGCAGTTTTCCTTTAAATTGAAAATTCAAGATTGAGTAATTGTTTTGAATAAAGTCTCTCTATCAAGAAACTAAAGGGAATCTCCCATAGGATGAAGAAAGATCACTTAGCAAGGCATATAGGACATACCCTAGAAGCATTTGAATGAATGGGCCAGAAAGCAAGACATTCAGAACAAGTCTTGTACTGGTAGCAAGATCGTTTGGCAATTGGGTCTCCATCACACTGTGACCCTCGAGAGAAGTCCAAAGCATGTGTTGGAAACTGACAGCTGCAAGAAAGGAATTCTAGGTCAAAGCAAAGCTGAAAAGAAAATTCATGTGTAACTGAAAATAAGATGGCTCTTTTCAATTAGCACAGTTCTCTTTAGAAGCTGAAGAGAAGCAACACTGCAAACATCTCACCTGTTTGGCAGTGGTTTGGAATTAGAGAAGCAATAGGTGCTGTTTCTCTCTGCCTCATGCTCATAGACACGACAATAACCACATCCATAAGTACCCTTGCAGCGGACTTTGTTTCGGGTATACAGCTGGCAAACGTCTCTTGGGAAGTCCAGTCTAGTCATGTTTCCAATGATGACACCAGCCAGCCCACCAAATATATATATTGATTCATCTGGACCCTTATCCACTGCATGTCCTACAATACCCAGGTTGGGTTCTCCTATCACCTCTATATCTGTGAGAGAATGAATATATCCAACATGATTCACCTTCTGTTTTATTACCATCATTAAATTGCTCTGAGTCCACTGGCTCTTACCATCACCAAGCATGCGGACCCATTTATTGCATGAATAACTGTAAGCAGCAATGGAAGCACTTGTATCAGACAGGGCTTCAGATTCGTTGTCAAGGAGACGACTCCCTTCTCGACCACCAATGATGATCAAGTGATCATCAGTTGTGATGGCCTTGTGCATGTATCTACCTCCAGGCTGTGAAATAATTAATAGAATCAGAAGAATGATCTGATTAGCATGAAGCAAAACATAGATTTCTTTAAGTGCAATACAATAAAAAAGAATAAATTCTTACAAATCCTCCAGATGTTGGAGGATCAGGTGGCAATACTGTCCAGTTTTTGGAGGGCCAATGAAAAGCATACAACTTTGAAGAGACTGTCACATGATCCACATCATACAAAATCCCTCCATAAATGTACAGTGAGTTGGTTGGTGGATGATATACTGTGCTGTGTCCATAAATACCTTGAAAGGAAAAAAGAATCATTGGGCAATTTTGTCTACATTATCAGGACACCACAAAATAAACTTGGAATAGAAAAAACTTACCAACTGGATAAGTTCCAGAAATGTTCACCTCTAGCCATTGTCCACTACGTAATTCATATTCAAGCACCTTCTCCAGAAATCCATATTGAGGGGAGAACCCACCAATGAGAACAAGGTTTTCAGATGGTCCATAGATACAAAGGGTTAAGGTATGACCTGCCAAGCCTGGTATCCAATCTGGCTTCTGCACAATCAAAAAATTCTTGATGATTAAACATCAACCAATAACCCTACCTTCATGTTTAAAATTGTATAAATTACACATAAACTATTCTTCATATACAGTCATTATCCCCATACCTGGAGTTTATTCCATCTGTTGTGAAGTATGTTGAAAGTCCAGAGATCATCATAGAATCGCATGCCCATGCCCATGCCTCCATAAATATAAATCTCCTTTTGAGATGGAACATATGCAGCAGCATGGAAATATCGACTGGCAGGCAGAGGTGAATCTCCTGAATGGATCTGAACAGTCACCTGAAATAAAATTTACAAAAAAGCCATGACATAAATGTTATACTTACTCTATTTTTCCTCTACTATAATCTCCAGCTGTTCTAACCTCATCCCAAGCATTTTCCTTGATGTTGAATCGCTGAATGTCATTCAAAGGTCCACGTGACAAGGAGTACCCACCAAACACCCTGGAGAGGCCAAGTACCAAGAATGATGACTAAGAACTATGCCACTTCATCTGAGCAAAAGGAATCATTGACTGGGAGTAGTTCATACCAAAGAGAGCCTCTTTGATCAGAGACAAGAGAGTGACCCATCCGAGGCATGACCATGCGCAGATGTTCCACATCATCTGCTACTTTTCCTGGGTGAAATAACTGGGTAAAAACTACATGTGTCATCTGTTCAGAGGTCTTGATGGAACAATCTCTTCCTCCATAGCCACTTTTACAGATGCATACTCCATATGCCTATTGAAAGGAAGAAATCCAAGGGATCATCATTTTGGATGTATATAGCATTACGGTTGTGATTTCATGCAGTGCCTAAAATTATAACCAGTTTCAAAACCACACATCAGTTGCATAGGCAAGAAGGGTTCATGAAGTTCTGAGGGCTGCCCACCCATAACCTGCAAACTCCTATCTACTCTTCATTCAACTGCTTGAATGCTGGACCATTCCCAAAATCTTGCATATGCCACTATCATGATAGTGTATTCAACCCAATAATGCTTTATTTTTTTGGCAAAAAAAATCTGGTAGGTTTCACTCATGTCCTAGAACATGGGTCAAATGGAAAAAATTGTTTAAAATCAAATTTGTAAGCAGTTGGCCCGAAAATGTTATTGTTGCTCATTTGCTACTAACAGCATTTTCAGCTTTCCAACCCATGCTGCATGGATGCTAGAGAGCTCAGTCAATCTGTCAACATTCGTACATACCTCAACACAAAAAAAAAATGTAAAAATACAGATGAACCTGGACCCTGGATTCCAATAAAGTTTAAGAAAATTAAATAAAAAACATAAATCTGCCATACAAACAAAGCCAGGTTGGTTTTAATTTACTTGCCACCAGGAGTGAATGGCACCTAGCAACTGCATAGCTGCTAGGTATAAGGACTGGACTGTTGCACATCTGCTATGAACAGATTTACCTCAGGAGCTTGCTACCTGCACATTCTAAAAAATGTTTATTTGGTATGTAGCATATCTGCTACACCATGCATTAAAGGGTTTTAAAAATTTCAGTTTCTTCAACCTACTCGGTCACAAGTCCCTTGACCCATAGCAGACATACACTTGTTGGGACATATGATTCCAGAGCAATTTGATCCAGCAGTTCCCTTAGGACATCGACAAGACCCATATCGACAGATTCGGGGAGGTGGACAATTGTCAGGGCAACTGAGGATACGGTAAGAGGCATTGAAGCCTTCTCCTTCTCGCTCCCTTTCATAGAAGACGGTTAGGAACCCTGTTTAAAGAAACATTTTCTGTAATGGACCTGTTTAAGTCATCTGAATTGACAACTAGCAGTTTGGGAAATTCTTACCTGTGTGGGCTTCTACTGTCACAGGATACAGACCCTGTTCAGCACAGAATACACCCAAACCATCAGTCTGTCGATTCCAGCGGCTGTCGCTCGATATCATGGAAGGAAGTCCATCATACACATACACATGATTTTCACTGCATCGCAAATTTAACCCCTCATGAATGGTCAGCTGGATGACATCTCTTGTTCTATATGGAAAGAAGGCAATGAAAGAATGCCATAGAATCCTTCAACTTACAAGTTCTAATTTGACTATATAGATGCTCATCATACGTGTGTGCTTTAGTTGCAGCATCATTTAAAGATGAGTGGACTGAAATGATCCATAGACAATGCTGAGGTGGGGATGATGTGGCCTCAACAGTGCCAGCCCCCAATCCACCCTCATAGCTTCCTGTCAAAAAGCCCCGAGGCACACACTCTCTGTAGCATCTTCCACCATTCCTAGAAAGGAGATGAAATGAAACATGCATGGAAAACTCTTGTTAATATGGATTTCAGAGAACCAGTAACATTGTCTGGATTAATGGCATGTCCAGATAATTCAAAATCTGACCAAGGGAACATTATTTATTTATTTATTTTTTTTTGCTTTTAAAGAAAACCGCACTCCCAGCAAAATCATACCTTAGAAAATTTTTATAAGAAAATGGAAATCCCTGACTCAGGTCATTCAAACAGTTACATCAGAGAAATTCTAAAATTGATTATGCTTTCTTTTAAGCAAAAAACTTATATTTGCATGTCAGATCACAATGAGAATGTTTATTCATGAACAAAGGAAACTAATAAACTTGTTGAGGCTCTAATGACAAGGATGGACTGGGGACTAACTGGGAAAGAGGGAAATGGGAAATATCAAAGGAACAACAAAGAAACAAGAATTATTTGTTGTCTATTTCTGGTTCTTGGGGTGAGAAGAAGTGAAGACTTGCTAGCAAGTTCAGGTTAATGGGGAGAATGACCCAAGACATTAGAAAATTAATCAGTATATATGGGAACAACAGAATAATGGCATGTAGATTAAATAAAAAATAGGTTCTATGAGATTTCTACAGGACTATTCCTCTTGTTTGGATTAACAAGAGCAGCAGGATACAGTCATTCAGATAAACTAGATGTGACTATATATGGTAATCAGAAGTCTGTGATGAATGGAGGAGATACTTTCATGAAATACAGTACTGAGAAAAATGTACCAGTACTCACTTTGGATCACCATAGTAACCTGGCTCACACTCTCCACAATTCTTTCCTTGAGTATGGTGCTTGCAGTAACATTGACCAGTGACAGGGTTGCATACACCTCTCTCCTCATCACCATGCCCACTACAGTGGCACACTTGACACCCCTGCACTGTGGTTGCATTTCCATAGCTTCCATTCCTGTATCAGCAAGAATGAAACCAATAAGCTTTCTTTGGCATCATTTAGAGAAGTTAATTCAGTACATACCACAGACATGTAGTGGGACATACCGACAGAGATGGCAGTGCTCCCCTGTAGTCCAGTCTTGACAGTCATCACATTTTCCAACAACTTCATGACATGTTGAGTGATTATGACACCCACAATCAGTATCACAGGCAGGACCAGTCCACCCCAAGGAGCAGATGCATTGAAAGTCTGGTTCACTGGCACAGTATCCATGAATACATTCTTCAAAGCACCTGGATGAAAAAGGAAAGAGTTATTTTTCACAGGGTACTACATGTGAAAACATGGCATACAATCAGTGCCAAAAAAAAGTAGGACATTGAGAGATTAAACAACTTTTACCAGTCATAACATTGAAGAGGTAAAGTACGAATTTACAGTTTAATTTTTCCAACAAAGGGATGGGGGTGTATGACCAAAGCAACTCAGATGCCTAAAGAAAAATGAGATACCTCCAGAAGGAAAGAGGAGGCACCTATATTAGGCCTGCCTTTCCCAGCTCAGAAAAATCAGGCCATAGCATTCCAAAGATAAAATACCTCAAAATATTGGTTGAGCTTTGATTTTATTCTAAGCTGTCTAAACTAGCATAAGCAAAGGAATTACTTTTTTTTTATCTATAAGATGCAAGGATGTGCCTAATATGCATCACAAAAGAGAGCAAGGAAAGTGAAAGTGGCTTCTGAATTCAAGTGAAGTGGGACTCCCCACCATTAGTCAATAATAACATCATAGGTCAGAAACACAACATACGTTTTATGGCAAGAAGAGTGTCCATCTCCAGTGAAGCCCTGCAGACATGTGCACTTGTAGGATCCATGAGTGTTGACACAAGATGCATTTGGATGACAATCATGCAGGCCAAGACGACACTCATCCACATCACTACAAGCTCCATAGGCCCAAGCACCCTCAAGAATGCTTTGATTTTTTCCATCACCATCCTGACCCAATACTTTTGTACAGGTACCTTTGAGGAAAAAAAGTTTTTTTTTTAAAGGAACTGTGAAAGGAATATTCCATCCACAACCCAAGGAACCATGTCACTGGATGTTGAGGATAGCAGTTCTGTTCAACCACTCACTTTGTGATGGTCCAGTGAAATCTCCTTGATGGCAAATTCCAATAGTAGGATTCTCTTCCAAGTAACACCAGCCACAACCTAAACTCTGCAGGCACGAGGAGCAGTTTGGAGCAAGATGGCACTGCCGACACTGACCAGGTGGATCTTCATCTACCCAATCCTTACACCCTCCATACTGGTATCGTGAGGTGAAGACAGAGAATGGAAAGCATTCCTGAAAGATAACATGAAAAAAATTATTTACATGGAATAAGAAGAATCACCCACACCTTTGATCTTTACTGACAAAGGCCACAAGAATGTGGTTTCTGGCTTATTCACTCATGAATTCTATGGAAATATCCACTCACTTGAGTGCTCTCGCACCAGGCGCATCTCCCAGGAAGACCCAAGCAGTCAGAACAGATCAGTCTGGATTGGCAGGGAACAGGGCACTCTGTCACATCATGAGCCACTCCTTCTGTTGATCTGAAATGATGACAAGTAAAAATGCTAATTGTACACATCTGCAAGATTCCTGGCTGAACTATATTAAGGCCACAACTCTACCAATCTAATGATTGCCATAGAGTGGTTAGATCCTTCTCAATGGCATAATGAAATCAGCTGAAGACATGGATGACAAATTTTCAACCTCCTGGGGTCTCTTTCAAAGCAGGTAGCACTGGCATACAACATGATGTGCTGGTAAATTCATGACTGTCATAGTTAATGGTATAGAACTGGTGTGCTTGGCAGCAAGGACATCTCTCAATCTTTTGTTGCTTTTGTTAACATTCAAAATGGTACCAAGGACCTGTTAGAAGGAAAGTGAAAATTAAAAACTGGCAACAGCTAGCCATAGGTATCTACTGCATTCTTATCTCCCTCCAATCGAAAGTCTCTTTTAAAATATATCTTGAACCTGAGTAGGTTTGTTGTTGAAAATCAAGGCAATCAAAAGCTGTTAATGTAAAATGAGACACAGGAAATATAAACATAAAGAAGAAATGCTCAATTCACACTTTAAAATGTCAATACAAGCCATAACATGGAGACTCACCTTCCTTTGCGTTTGCATTCTGCTTCCTCGACCATCCATTCACATAGACCAGACTGAATACAGGAAGCGCAATCAATGAAGTCAGAACAGTTGGGGCACTGGTCTGGTGAAATGATGAGTAGCTCAGTTCCACCACACATCCCACTACCAGAAGGCATTACATCTCGTCTCTCACATCGACTTCTTGATTCACACCACCCACATGCGGAATCAGATAGACAGGCAAGGCAATTCCGCTCTTCCCAACATGAGCCATTCCAATATGGCTCCAAAAATTCCAGTGTTATTTCCTGCAGAAGAGTACAAGTACCAAGTGAGGCACCAGTTGAACCCTGAGATCTTTGGTCTGAAGTAACATGATATGGTTCTGACCTTTCTGAAATTAGGATTGGCATTCCAATGAAGGTCCATTGATGCAGGCAGACTTGATGGAGCAGAAACCTGATAATCAAGCCAATATCTTTTCCCTCGAGAAACATCAGGAAAAATGGAGTGTCCTGATGGTCTCATGGCAGGAATCCTCTGAGGGTGACTACTGTTCACGGTTTCATTCCCAACAACTTCCTGTTTGGGGGAAATAAACATATTCATTAACTAATGCATCCTATGTAATGAGGTTAACAAAAATACCTAGACATAGAAAGGCACCACAACTGACCACAGAGTCTCGAGTGTCATCATTGCTAAGATACAGGATCCCATGAGCATTACTCAGACTGAGAAACAAATTCAGAGATGGTTCTCCATTTGCCACTGCACCAAGGGGGTGAAGAAAGCCCCTCATGTGAGCTTCCACAAGACCTCCTTCGTCTCCAAGATTCACAGGCATTAACCTTTCCATGGTTGAGTTGATAATTTTCACCTAGAGGCAGAGTAGAGAGTATAGCAAACCCAGAACAACAGCATATACCAGAGGAGACATTTGAGAATTGGCAGTTAGTACCTCATCTGGATGTTTCCAGTCTGGAGGATAATAATACCTCATGAATGTTAGACCAGGCCTCTTATCTTTTGTAACACATTCATGGAGATGGGAGACCTCTACTCCATGTTCTCCCCACCAGCCACTTCTCCCAGAGGGGTTTTCTTCTGGGGATCCACACAGTCCAAGCAAGTCTGCAAGCATCAAAAAGGGAATGTAATTTATGAAATAGCATCATCATCCATAACCACTGATCAAGCTTAAATGAACAGACTACTGCAAGCCTACTGATAGCCGGGCAGGTTTAAACATGTGAGCATACTTTTACTGCTCATAGTAGCATTTTACTGCTCATATGAAACCACCCATCACACTTACCTGATTCTGCATGGCAATAGGCCTTCTGTACACACCAATTGCACTGCCAAAGCCCCAACTTTCCAATCATAGATGGTGCATTGAGCTTTCTTCTATGGACAAGGCAGGATGAACAACTCTCCAGAGCAGGACAAATGCCTGTGAAGTACAAGAATAATTTAAAAAGCTCACAGTTAAACCCTTTTCCAAAAACCATGGCTTTGTTATGTTACTTCTTCAAAGTAAGAAAGATACTTGAAACAATCAGAATTCATGAATTATGACCTGGGAAGGTTCTCTTTAAGAAATAAATTTGTAGTTTCAGTCAAAGTAAACTACAAGAGATATAAGATCTCTGTAAATCCCTCATGACAAATTTTTTATACAGAAAAATGTCTAAGTTCCATCTCTTTTGATCTGCTCTAGTTGCACAAGGATATAACTGGCACACAAAAAAATAATCAGATAGTTTGCATTGCTATGACAAAGCAGAGAGCTGCTATTCAAGAAAAGTACATAAGCAAACTTTAAACATTTCCATGAAATCAGAGGTTCCAAAGGTGTGCACAAGAAAGGGATTTTTAATAGAAAAAAATACTTCCAGGGTGGTTCTTGGAAATTCTAAAAACTCAACAATTGCAAAAAGTTGTATTGCCATGGCCAAGTGAGCAAGAGAAAACCTTCATTCTATAAAATTGTCACCTATTTGAGAGAGAATAGATGTAAAATCATAGCTCTGCTTACACTTTGCAACTTGCAAATTTTTCTGTTTTCGAGGAACCTGGTGCAGGTGCACTGGTGGCATTCATCAATAACTTTAAAGTAAAATGTCAAAGCAAATGATGAAAGAACTTCTAAGTTATTCAAGAAAATTGGAATAAGCAGATTCCACAGGTTTATTATTACATTGATTCTAATTAATGTATTCAGCAATAGTCTCCTCACCTGGACATTGAGTACTTTGGAGATTATTAGTGCAATTGGCACCTGAGGTTCTGTCCATGCAGACAGACTCAGACTCACACCACCCACACTCGGGATTAGACGTACAGGCATCTCTCTCTCGATACCTGAGCAAAAAGGATTTATATAATTTTCATAATGGAAAAGGAAACAATGTTCAAGGAAGCATGTGGGCTTAAATGGCACAAGAATCCATTTAAGAATCATCAAAAAGTCATGTTCACATCCAACATACCACTAAATCAAAAGCAAAACTTACCTTTGGCAAGCTTGGTGAGGTTGAGGAGAGGGTGCTGCTATCATTGGGGGGAAACCTAAGGCAAAAACTTCATTGTTTACATTGCCATGAAAGCCCCCAGCTATGATGAGGGTGTTCTCACGGCGTACAACAGCAACATGGGAATGAAGTCCTGGAAGCTCCCCATCTAGTAAGAAGATTGAAAATACATCCTATCATCACAAAGTCAAAAAGATACAGAAGAATTAATAACAGGTAACATTAACACTTACCCAGGGTTCGATTTGTAGAGTTGGCATATAGAACCTGTGGACTAACCCAGGTATGGCATCCCATGTGATACAGGTACAAACGGTTATCATAACAGATCTCCTGCTTGTTGTGATAGTGGAGGTATCCCCCATACACCACCATGAAATTGCCTTATGAAAAAAGCAATCATGATAATTCTCCTAATCAAACTGAGGATCAAATATTAAGAAAGATGAGCTTCCTCTTTAGGTCTCACCAATTATATTAGCTGCATGGAATGCTCTTCCCATTGGAACAAATGCTGTCACGTGGGAACTTCGTGGATATCGAACTTCACTCCATACTTTTTCAGTCAAATCAAAAATGAATAGCCTGTCACTTAGCTGAGAATATCTTGCCACATTAACACTAATTCCACCATATACCAAGAGTGACTTGCTCTCCTTGTGATAAATGGTAGAATGACCAATAAGCCTCAGACTGGTTTCCTTGCCACCTCGCACTTTCACTTCCTCCCACTCCAGACCATCGTCTTCAAGGCAAATATGATAACACATCCATGAAGACATTGTGCATTGCAAGGGAAAATCCCATTTTCAAGTCATAGAAGTATAAGTGAGGTTCAAGCTGAAAAAATGAGAGAAAACTTACACTTACCATTGGAATGTGAAATTTGCAAGCGATACATCCCTGAGGTGAATTCTCCATGAGGCCCACTACCTCCGAACAGATACAACCAATTCTCCTCAACAAGTGTCATTGTATGATGCATCAGATGTGGACTATTCTTCCTGATACTCAGAGTCCATTCTTTCGTTGTGACGTTAAATATCCAAAGATCACTTGAGAGAGATCCATTCTTGAGCTGACCACCATGCAACACTATCAGTTCATCACCAACTGCTATCATACAGTGACCAAATCGAGGCTCTGGCATGAGCTTCTGGATGCTTGGAATACTTTTCTCTCGCACACTCACTGTCTGATTTTCGGCAACAAACTCCAAAATGTCAAGGGGATCTTCCACTGTTTTTCTCCCCAATTGTTCCCATTCACTTGTACTGAAGTTGTATCTGAGAAAATCTCCTAGAACTTGATTGAGATCATACCCTCCAAATATATACAATGAATCTGTTCGTGAGATATATGCACCAGAGTGAGCACATCTGGGTGAAAATATTGTTCTTGGTTGAGAAATGAAAAATTTCTGGATGGAGGAGTCCCATGCACTAGATGGTGGAAGGGTGCAGAGATCTCCTTCATACCCAGGCCTGCAAATGCACTTATCACCAACGCAAACACCATCATGGCATTGACATTGCACCTCTTCACATCCTTCTCCAGAAAATCCTTCTTTACAGATGCACTGATTTTCAAAACACTCTCCTCTGTCACTGCAGTTCAAGTAGCAGGAGGTGATGGAAAACTGGGCTTCAAATCCTTCTCGATAGTAGTTTGTGTCACTATATAACAAGATGAGCATCTGAAAAAAAGAAAGGAGTTTTGAAATATATGCATGCAATATTGAACCTATCCCATGAATAATAAATAGGTCATCACAATCATAATGGCATGATACTGAAAACTATTCATGAATAGTACAAACAGGATTGCTAGTATCCCCCCTTACCATATCATGGATGATAACCATTTCTGTTTTCTCAGACTTGCAACAATTTATTCAACAGTGAAATTATATGCAACTTGACAAGAATATAGCAAGGTTAAGGTAAAGACTAACTTTTAATTTAGCCTTAAAACCATGGAAACCATACTAGTTCTGATTGAACTGATTCTGACAAATCAAAAGGATAAGTCAAACACAAGGTTAACTATTTTGCTTCAAGTAAACAGCAGAACTATGATATAATGATATAATACATAATAGATATAACTTGTGATACAATAAAGTTTTCATGACATGAATCATCCATGTCTAGTTTCTACCACTACTTCAAGTACAACTAGTAGATACTAATTCCATTCATAATTACATTGAATTTCTACCATTTTCATTTAATTTCACAAAAGAACTGCTTTAAAGACCCTACCTGAGACTGGCAACTAGACTTCCAATTCACCCTTTTGATGTTATAACTTTCATTAGAGCCCACTGATCCTGGTGGATCAGAACAGCATGGAATAAATCCAACAGGTGAGAACTATAAGGAAAAGACATAGCAAAAAGCATACTCACTGCACCGGAGCGAGCTGTGACCATCTGAGGTTTCGAATTTCCACTGAATGCCCCAAGAAGGAGTGAGTTGAACGATGGGCCATCATAGATGAAGACGTGGTCATAGGAACACTCTGTGTCCAGGAAGCTGAAGTTCAGATGAATATATGGAGCACTCAAGTTGCCTGCAAAAGAGTCAAAAGGAATGCCTAAGCATTTCCACTGGTATTTACAATGAGACAAAAAGTGGTTTCAATTTATTCCTTTCATAATTTGCAGTACACTTTATGACAGACTTACTCTTTACCACAAGTTGGAGGTTCCTACAATCATAGGATGAATTGACTTTGATATCCAACATTGTTCTGTGGATGTATTTTAGAGCCACCATCATCACTATCTCATGATTTTAGATGGTAAGAGGCACAAGCAGTAGTTTTGAAAGAAAATCTCGAATATGCCAACAGTTAATCCAAAACTATCATTATTGGAATTAAATATTGACCCTGGGGTATAGAATATACCACATGGCTGGTTATCAATTACTGGTATAGGTTAATCATGTATAAAGATACATTCAATTCATTTGAGAATATACACTCTGGATATTGGTCAAAATGTTTCAGTTGCTACAGCTCTAATTCAACCCATAAAATTCTTAATTAGATTTTTTTTAAATATAAACTTGCAATCTTAGAATCAGACTAGATTTAAATAATGCCCAATCAACAGAATGACATACGCCATGTGTAACACTCTTCACTAGAGAAAGTTTTGCATGAATGAGATCTTATTACAGTGAAGAGAATGGGTTATCAACTACCACTTGGCACTGTATTTATCGATTTAATTTTATGAGTTAATGTGGTTAAAATAGGCCCACATCATATAATAAAAGGGAATGGATACGATTCACCTTAACCCCTTATCTATGTAGGGTGTATTATTATATCCACACTTATCATTCCTCTTCTGCATAAGGCAAAGGCGTAAGGCAAGACATTACACCCCAGAATACCCATTCAGTTTTCAGGCTATATAGGCTCTAACATTATGCTCAGAATGTGGGATTATGGAGTTTAAGAGTGAGAGTTTTGGTATGAAAGTGGGCATTTTTCTATTTAAAAAATAAATAGTGGGAGAAGGATTAGGAGAAAAGAATTGCACAGTCAAGGGGTTAGGGCCAATGTGTGAAGAGTGTGCTTGCATTTCACCTTTTATGAGCCATTGACAATGAGTGGTGGGGTTATACTTCCCTGGGCCATCTGATATGATGCCCCAAGACTGGCTGAGAACTTCTCTGCTCTTGTCACAGCTCTCCATGTCTTCAGTTGACTTCTGAGAATCCACAACTGATGTCCATATCACAAATAGCAGAGACCACCTCATGATACACTGAAATCCTACAGGCTTCAGTTACACAATGTCAGGTTCATCTGGAGTCTCTTTATGCAAAGCCATTGTGTGAAGTCTCATCTAGAACACAAAAGAACTTCAAGGGATTATTTATGTCCACTAATGAGAATGTTCTACCACATTTTTGGAATGCTTTTGCAAACCTTCATAGATGAGATGATATTAATATTAATTGACCTTAGTGACATCTATGGAAAAAGTGTGGTTTCAGTGCATGAAGAATTTTGTGGGAGATATAGTACATTCATTTCTCAACACAGCATGTTTCCAGGTAGACATAAGGATGCATCATTTGGCCTGGACATGTTGAAAAATCCAGAAATGACTCAAGAAACCCAGCCCTTGTTCTGCAAGTGTTTGTGTAGTGATGAAGAAAGCATTTCATGAAATCTCTAATGAAGTTCTTTGTGTAAAGAAAAACATACTTTTTATCCTAGCGATCATGGCTAAAAGCTAAGTAGCGACACAACAACTGCATGACTACAACTTGCAATAATAGGTTTGCATCATTTATAGTTCTCAAGATGGGATTATGTTTGCTCTGTTATGCCAGTAGAGTTATAGTGGACTCCCATTTAAGGGTGTGCAAAAGCAATGCAAAAATACTCTATGCTGTTACATATTTTTTCAGCCGAGTTAAATTATTTTTTTTCAAAACTTCGACACCCATTCAAGGGTGTCGACACCAATACAAATTGCCAATCGTATGAAAATAGCGTCGAACTTTTGGAGTGAAATACTGCTGTAATTATGTCCACGATATGACAATGACATGAGCATGAAAATTGTCATTCCTATGGCATAAATATATTAATGATTTTTATCGGATTTTTGGCCCTATGATTGCAAGGCTACAAGAGCTGAAACAGGCCCATTCTTGGCCCAGTCAGGAATGGGATCGAACTAGGCCTATCTACATTATCTATTCCGGGGAATTTCTGCAGACACAGAAGTAGGGTAGGCTACGACGTTAAGCAGCCTCTTTGTATAAGCCAACCCAACTTTTGTTCCTTGCGAGCAAGGCTAGAAGACAGTGCATCTCCATGATGGGCTGTTGTGACATCACAAGTTTCGACTGCTAGCTGTCGTGTTGCTCTTGGACTGTAGTTTACATCACGATGAAATGGGGCCGTGGGGCTATATGCATGAAATCCAATCAACTAGAATAAATTCAGCTTTGTGATGGGCATCTAAGAAAATTTTAATGAGTTGTTATTGTCAAAGTAGTCTATTTGAAAATGAATACATTCTATTCGTTTCCACGCCATTGTCACAAGTTCGGTAAACCTATGTTTGCTCTCGTGCCCATCACATCAGGCGTGTCACCCATTATATTAAATTTATTTCATTACTTATTAAATATTTCTTTGCAAATACACAGGTAACTCCAACACTCGCGTATGGTTGTTTTCTAGCATAGGCGTCAGAGTATACAGAAAAGGTGCGAACTGCACTGGAAATACCGGTATTTATCAAGATTCTTACTACATTAAACAAGATGATTTCCGATTGGCATTGTACATTCGTACATCACTACCATGGTTAATATAATTACAATTAGATCTGATGCGAAGACCATATCGCCTCAGATCTTTCTGACCTTCCTATCGAGGTCATCGAGTCGCCGATTATGTTTAACTTATTTCCTGCACGAAATATATGATACATTTTTTACACTAGTCCTACCACCAGGACAAAGTTCATTACTTGACTCCTCATATTTTCCGAGAGTTTTGGAGGCATCTGTCCATCCGTCAACATATCCACAGGTTCAAAACGCTACAGCCATGCTTTCCTGCCTTCGCAGAACAGGAAAAAATAAGTGTTCCATTATCTAGTCGAAACTCAGCTGAGGAAATATTTTAGAGGACCTCATCGAAGGTGGTGGGGTCATATCTAAGCATTGAATTCGACTAAAATCAGCGTAGATATTAAAAAATGGCCACGGAAAACACAGTGACATGGTTCTTGCTCTCACAGACGAAGCCCAAGAAACCCTTCTAGTGGCGAGGTCTTCCTGTCTGACAGCTCTAAAGCTATAGACAGAGCGTGGCACAGAAGGTGGCAGAGTTCCAACGCAAAATTCGGAGCTGCGGAACACGTGGTCCCCTTTCTCCATGGGTATTTGCCTGCCTGTCAGTAATGTTATTCTGGATGGTCCTACCTCCACTCCGTCAGCGATCCACTCTGACGTTCCCAATGCGCTGTTCTTGGCCCCGCCCCTCTTCCGCTTGTTCTTTCCAGGATATCTCTTCCACATTTGAGGATAAGGTTCACCCTGTTCTCACACGACCCCCCCCCCTTTGCAATTCATCTTCTGCATCTCATAGTAGCTTCCTGCAAGAAGCAGCCTTTCTCTATACGTTTAATATTTGAAAATACACTACATCGTTACAAAGCTTAGGTGCTTTATGGGGTCCTGGCACTAGTCACTGTCAACGATCAACATAACGATACGCATTATCACAACATTCCAAAGTGTGCTGCCCGTGGCCTTGGTGCACTGCACTCATCAATAATGAGTCTGTTGCATCTTCCACTGCAGCCCCCGGGTTGTGTATAATCATCCAACATGGCGTGCCTTTAAGGCATGCTAACTTTTTGTATAAGGCCGCTGTCCTCCCCAATATGGGGTATGCCTAGCTACTTGGGGGAGGTACACCATCTTTTATCCACATCTCCCTTCTCACTGTAGCTCTTGCACGCTTTCTCTGGGGATTTTGCTTCAATATTTGGAATGATTCCGGGATTCAGCCTTTTCCGTTCTTTCATTCTGGCTGCTACTTTGTTCATCCGAGCCCGCCTTCACTTTCCCCTCGGCGTGCATCGTCGCCAGCGTGGAAGCGTGAATCATAACTATGGGAGAGAAAAGAGAGAAAGGGAACCGGACTAAAGACCAAGTGTGAGTCGGGGGACCCTCTCATTCCAATTGTCTTTCTTTCCTTTTACTGTTCCTTTTTTTATATACGTATTTGTTCGGTCGCTGCATCGCCTTGTACTTCTTTTTTTTTCATCGCGTCGGTACGGTTAGTGACGTTGAGGTTACGGTAACTGAACGACACCTTCACATAGACATGGAATGCCAATACTTTCTCTTCTTCCTCCTCTCAAAACTATCTCACGAAGACGCGGGAATTGGTCTCTGCAAACCTGTTCCTGCTACACTTGAGCAATCCAAAACAGGAAGATATGAAGCACGATCTCCTTCTCAGAACAGGATCCCTATGGCACTCGCTCCCGAATATTGTGTTCTTTCCTTGGACGCTCCAAACTTTCACAAGAAAAAGATCTTTGTTTTTATGCTATTAGGCAAGCAGCAACATCAATGCTGACACCTTCTTGTGAGGAAAAATCACTTTCCCAAAATAGCAAAATCGCCTGACTCGAGAGAAACCAGTTTCGCATTTTCATCGGGTTTTGGGCAATGGCAGGTTAGTATGAAAATTCCAATTTCCACTGCGTCATCATGCATGCATCAACATTTGATGGAATCCAAGCACTCCTCAGAGTAAAATAGACCAATCTTGTTTGGTCATACTTCGTCATTGAGAATGCGTCAGCTTCATGTATCAGGCTGATGCACGCTTAGTAATCCAAGTATCCTACATCGATCAAACGCTTCGAGACCTTGTTGAAATTGCCTTCGAGATTTCATCTTGGCACTGCCTCGCAATTGGACTCTCAGCAACGGCCTCAAAGGGAAGTGGCTAGAGGGAATGAAAAAAAGAATTTGGCGCCATCAACGGCACCGCCTTCTTCTCGTTCCTGTCATTCGGCAAGTTTTCTCTGAAACGCCTCATCCTATGACATTGAAACGTTGATCGACTTTTCTAGACATCTTCAGCTTTCTGCTAAAATCCTTGTTGGTGACCGTTTCGGGCGATTAGTATGACCCCATAGCCCCTATTGAAAATGAGTATTTGGCGGTTTTTCTCCTTGATTATTCACTCCACATCTTTGAATCTCTAATCGATTTCATGCTACACTATAACGAGCTTGTACACGAAATTTCATCGATTACCCAACTCCTTTTTGAGTCATGCTTTTTTTTGGGCGATGAGTAAATATATTTGGTCATATTCGCATTGTATTCATATTTCTCCGCAATTCTTTCCATGTTATGATCTTCCTGTCGTCGGTTCTCTCGTTGAGTGAGAAAACATAGACGACGCCTCTTTTTCTCCGAAGGGAGACCTAAGAACTCCAAAATGGATGCAGGCAAACAGTGGGTACCAACCTCCACTCCGGTTACGGTCTCGCAAACCACGAGTTCAATGAAGTCCATCAGAAAGGAGGTTCAAGATTCGGGTAGGAACGTCAAGAGCCGCTATTTTCCATTATGACGTCCCGTGTCGAGGTCGAGCGAGGCAGGCATATCTTGACACAACGGTACTGAGACAAGGAGAAAACATACTGAACTCGTTTCCTCCATCTAACTTTGGATTGTTCCAGGACTTGCTTACAGGAAGATGCTTGCAGGCACACACGATGCAAATAGGTGGTTGTAGGAGCTGTGGCCCTGAGGCAGAAAATCCCAAATTCATTGCTCAGTCCCCAAGGTCACAATTTCATATAAAATCACAAGTATTCAATTACTCACCAAAGGGAGCCCACCTTCAAATATGATACAAATCCAAGACATCAGCTTCCCTATGATGCTTCTGCTCCCTTTTTTTTTATAAATGCAACATGTTCTTAAATGTGCAAAAGCATAACCATGTAAAACAAGACATGACAGAAGCCTTTCAAGCCCCTGTCACATGTTAGGAAAATCAGGCATTGACATCAAGACTTAAGATAATTTGTTATATTTTCTAGCAATGGTTTTGTCTGGTACTTGCATCCAATTACATTTCCTGTTCATAGTGTGAGACAGATGACTTATGAGATTAAAAAAAAACTTATTTGGTTTGGTCAATTTCTGAAACTTCCACTGCACAAGTCACTGCCATGCTATCACAGATTTACTGACACTGTACAATTTCTATTGCACCACAAAAGATCTTAGGATTTTTTAGGTGAACAATACCAAAGAGAACACAGGAGTCACAAGAACTAAGCTTTATTCAATGAAGGGCAGTTATAAATCCATTCCACTCTGGTAAAATATGACAAATGCATCACAGATAAATAAAATGCTTCTGGTAATTTTTCACAGGTCAAGAAAATGCTAGCCATTCTCACAAGATCAACCATGGAGCTGAAAGTTGAACTTAGAGTAGGTCCATTGTATTGTTTCAAAGTTGGATAGTGTGCGTTCACAAAAGTGACCCATGTTGTCTTGGTCCACCAGAATCACTGTCTGAGTCCTGAAAGATGCAACATTTTATGCTAATACCACTTTTCATCTTATAAAAGCTAAAAATGCTAAGATTCCATCTTTATTGAAATTCACAGATTATTTTGATTTCAAAAGAGAAATGAAAAACCAATTCCACTTCAACAAGAAAACAGTTCAAGGCTGTGCAAAGTGGACTCAATGTGTACCCAAGATAGAGGAGAAAAATTCAAACCCTGCCATAAATTCCACCCCCTACAAAACATAATTCAGCATATCAATACTACAATACATCTAATCTGCCTTTTTAGATCAAATTAATCTCTGAAATGGGTTGTTTTCAATCCACAGGTTTACCACTAATGAGTTTTTCCAGTAAAGTAGACTGATTTTGTGTTTTGAACAATTTTCCAGTTAAAATTCATATTGTTCTATTGTAGTTGAATGTTATTGGCACAGATAAATTGAAACAGAAATACGTGAAATAGAGTGTAAATATATCTCACACCCATTTACCATACTTTTCTCACTTGCCATACTTTGAATCACCCAAAGCTGGGAGGGAAATCTGAACAGAAACTACATTGGGTCCTTTTTCCATTTGAATTTTCCATTTTTTCCCTGTACATTTGGGGACTTTTTAAATTTAGTTTTGGAGAGCCTGAATTTATTCTCATGCCACCTCAATATCTTACCATATTGGGGACAAGATGACTTCTTCAATTTGCTCTTCCTTCAGTTTAATAAAATAAAGGACTTCTGTTAGAGGTTCATCAAAGAATTCAGGAATCATCAGGTTGCATCATGTGGGGATAACCCTATCTGTTTGGAGTCTACTCATATACATATAAGATGAAAAAGTTTGATATATCAATCATCTCAGTCATTCACCTCATTGAATAAAGCATGCTGTGTGAGACCACTCAATAAGGAGTGTAAAAAGCACAGAAAGGAAGGATGGATTTGACTAAATATTGGTTTCCACATTTCACTCATGGAGAGAAATTATAACTCAGTAAAAAGATTTGTAATCCAAGTTTATTAGCAGTCATAATAGAAAATTATTTAAATGACAAAATTATTTTAAAAATCCTGACCTTGTACCATATTGGTGACTCGGCAGCCGAAGAAACACTCTGGAATATTCCTCAAAAAAAGCATCAGAACGCTCTGGAGCTTGTTTCTTCATTCCAGAATCTGGATAATTGCTGGGGAAGAGGCAAGACATATGATATCCTCTATGGCAGTCATAACATATTTTAAAATTTTATTGAAGCATTAATAAAGCCTTTTATTGAGATTTCCATCACAAATTATTAGGGCTGTAATAGGGGTCACTTTCAGCTGATGGCAGATAATGATTCCATACTGTGCAGATTAAGAGTTGAAATCCATTTGATCATAAATACATTAAAAAAGACCTATTATGAAGCTGTGCTCAACTTTTTTTGGATTGTCAAGATGGTAATTTTGAAAGCATACATATTTTGACCTGAATCATTGATAGTACATGGAAAAGCACCTTGTCAGGGGGGGATTTAGTCATCTCATGTCTCAATCAGGCAGTTTTTATGTCCATTATTTCTTGCCTCAACTAGGGTGCAGACCTTTTTCCATCTTCCATCCTCTCTTGCCTACAATTAGAGTGGGGGAGGGGATGAGGTGACATCTATGAATCATAACAGCTGTACTCTTTTCTATTGTTGTTGGGAATCATTTACTGTGGCAAATAAACATGTTTTTTTCCTTTTCTTCATTTGGCATGCAAACCTATTGATGATGGTATGGTATCATTGGTGCCATGCTGACAGTCAATACTAGTGGTTGCCAATGACAACCAATTACAACCCTACAAATCAAATACAGGGTATATAATAAAAAAGTTTTTAACCTTAACTTTCTCCACTCTAACTGGAACTTTTTTCATGATGTTTTCAACATGTGTAGTTGAATATGTTTCCAATAGATCTTTGAAATTTCGTTCAAATCCCTTGCACTGAGACAAGTCAATGAGCAATCTTTCAAAAGAAGTTGGATGCTGAAAATGAACTTCAGCTTAAGCTGTAGGTGTAACACAGAAAGTGCCTTCATGCTGTCCAGGCCACATCAAACTTCTCTTCACTTGAAATTCATTTTTGGAATTATAAATTTTTAATCAATGAATGACCTGGAAATCAATAAGAATAAATGCAGAGAGTTTTCTCAAAGTTTATGCAGATTTTCCATTGGTTTGCATCAGAGAATGAGGCAGGTGGAGTTGAATCACTCAGAAGGGACTGGAGTTGTTCATTCTGATTCAATTCCAGATTTAAAAAAATAATTTCTCCTGGATTTGCTTTGGAAAAACCCAATTTACAGAAGTTGCAAATGCATGTAGGGAACATATAAATCCAAGGACAATTAAAATCTCATTAAAAAATTGCTCTAGGGAGATCAGATACATAGCTTAAAAAGCAATATATTTCAAGCCATACCTTGTATATCAAAAGTCATGAACACTCTCATAATTTTTTAAATAAGAGCATGACTATTTATTGTGAAATAAATTGCTGTAGTTACTTATAACAAAAGAATAGTTATAAAACTTAATATTTGTAATGTTAAAGCATCAAATATAATGTCCGTCCTAGGCTACAAGATAAAGATAAATACAACAATTGAAGAAAAAGATAAGCCAAATTGAGGCTGGGACAAGTTGTTTTTAGTAAGGTATAATACATGTCTTCAATAGAAGGGGTAAAATTACATGCAATATGCAGAGGGTTATAAATTTACCTTAGCACTTGGCATTACTGGGGTAACTGTAAACTTCTCCACCTCATATACTCATGCCTGATGGACTTACTACTTCCTCTTCATTTGAAGTTTGAACTCTCCAATTCTGGTGCAAACATATCCAATGAAAGAGCAACAGAATAAAAAATGTATCCATCCCCAGATTTTGCATTTCAAGCCTCAGAGCTATATTGACATTCAAGCCCTTAGTTCTGCATTCCATGCAGCACGACAGAAGGTCTGACAGTAAAGATAGAGGAAAGGTTAGGCTTCTTGAACTAATCAATCACAATTTGAAAAAGGGAAAATTTTAATTTCCACTTATCCCATCTTACTCTATTTCACAGAGTAGGCCTATCAAACTTCATTGATGAAAAATTGCAGCATACACCAGGAACACAAACCTTTGGTTATCTGAAAGAGTCTGAAAGAGGGCTTCTATGATATCTTCATGTGATAGCTTGTCTTCTTGTATACAAGTTACTGTCTCCTGGAATAAATTTCGTGCATGCTCTACCTTCTTCCATGACAGACCTGGAGCAGAATTTCCAAATGCAAATACTCCTTCTTTCATTCCATGGATCAATTCTCCACTCTCTGCATTGGATACTGAAGTAGCCTCAAAGTCCCCATTCAAACTTCAAGAAATTACAAATATATACTACATCATGCGATCTGTTATGATATAAATAAGCATGATATGAGGCTGAGGTTGAATGACTTAATTATGACTTACTCTGGATGGAGTAAGACCAGACGGAATGGATTGTATGACTTTTGTTTCAACAGGGGTGTCACATAATCATATGATGTGCAGGATCCATTCAGATAATCATTTATAAGGAATCCCCTCCCCTTAGCTTGAGGATTCATGCCATTTGCAGGCATGAGGATATTCAGAAGACATCCAATATGCCCAGAGGTAGAGTCCACTGCCAGCCATGTTCCACCTTCACGTCCTTCCATCAAATCTTGTCCTGTAGAAACAGTTTGATTGAATAATGCATGCATAGCAATTGATGGCTGCAACTTTATTTTCTGGTCCAGGATGGCAACTGATACCATTCCTAAGTAACTAATTAAAGAAATGAATACTTAACCTCCAATGATTGATGACTGATCCCATTTCCAAGCTTGTTTAGCTGGCCGTTGATAGAACTCATCCCTATTATTTGCTAAAATCAGTCGGAAGGGCTGCTTTTTATTATGATTGATTAGGAACAACAGCAGACACATCTCTGAATTATGTTCCTTGCAGTAGGCTCATGAGGACTATACAGTCAAGTTCCCCAATATCCCATAAATGGACCAGTCCGGAAATGATGTCATCTGCATTTCACATATGGGGTTACCTAGGGATAGACCGAGTTTCATGATGTTAGCTCAAGGCATGGTTCTAAGAAGCCCATGTCAAAGATTGTCTCACAATGTGCCTTCTCAGTTAAGCACATATTGAAAGAAATTGAATATCCAAGTTTAAAAAAAAGCATAAGTCTGCCTCACTAATTTTTCAGGAGACACTAAAAACTGCATTATCAAGTTCTAACCAGGGTTACCACAAAAAAAGATTGATACAGCTAAAGCTTGTATAAATGGACTGTACATCAACATGCCTTCCATGTGATCATCCATATAGGTGTGAAATTCCAAGGAAGATTGAGGGTCTCATGATGTCTTTGAACTTGATCAATCTTATTGCAAGATTTTAGGGGCAAAGTTCAGGGATTTATAAACAGGATGGTCCACAATTGTCTCCCCAAAAGTAAAAGCTTATTACTCAGGATGTATACATTTGATTTGAATGATATTGACTGAAATGAAAGTCAATTCAATATATTTTTATCTTGGAAAATTTCATAATTGCACAAGAAACTAGAACGAAGTTACACCCTAACAAACGAAAGTACCCATATCGTGCAACTGAAGCATGTAAATGTCACAATCCCTTCTGAATTTTGCAATGCCATCTTGGGTTTCACTATTCATTCATAGGTTTTTTATGCAACGTGAAGGAATGTCAGCATCATGGATGACCTCGGTATCCTGCAGAAGACGAATATTGCCATTTGGTTTGATAATTTGAGGAGTGCAATTATGGTTTTGGGAAAATTTGGAAATTTCTTCTGTTTGGGTCGAAATTCCTCTGTTCCTGATGAGAAGATCATGAAGACAATTTGTTAGAGGTTTCTGAACCTGAAGAGATTTGTTGGTGGACCTATGACTACCAAGATAAGATAAAACAGGCCATTGGAGGTGCCTTCACCACAGTAGGACCAGAGATTATCGAGAGATGTCTGCTGGCATTCAAAGAGAAACTGCACCAAGTCATTGAAAATTGTGGCTGTCGTATTGAATACTTGCAATTTGGGGGTTCTCATTTGTAAGGATTCTGGATTCTGACTGTCATGTTCAATAGTGAAATAAATAAAAAACAATGAAAACTCTTGAAACATTGCATTCCAGTCAAGGTCTACATCTATATCAAATCTATAATATGCATCAAAATTATTGCTTCATGACTTTTTTTTCACACTGTGAAGCCATCCTCAGTTGCTTAAATACACCATTCCATTATAATCTAAGATTGATATCAATAATAAAAATTCCCACAGAAGTTGAAGAATATGGGATATTACTCATAATTCTTTGGGGAACTGAGAAGTTCAGGTTCATTAACATCTACTTCTCTTTTACCTATGATATTTGGCGGCCTACCACAAAATATCAATTTCTGAAAGCCTATAATGGGAGAGGTGGAAAGCGTCCAAATATTTCGATGCCAACCCATGCAGATTCATACCAATCTGCCATTACAACGAAAAACAAAAGAATGGGCAATATGAACGCATCTCTCCTTGTTTTTTACCTACGAAATGCATTTCTCCAAATACTTGACATAAAACCCAGTTTAACTCTTTGGTTGGTTAAATAACGCGGGGGGCGTTAAGCCTACAATCGGCAGCGCGAAACGCACAATCCCCCAACCCTCGACCGGCTCCGGAAGGCCATAGAGCGTTGCGTCATATTCTTGCAATCCCCAACCACATGGTCCCAGCGACCAGTCCCACTCCCATAGGTTGCCAAGAGCACGTTTCTAGTCCCTGCTTATTTGGCTAAGATTATTGTCATTAATGGGCACAAAATTCATGACATTTAGCAAAACGATGTCATAGATAATACTTTGTAAAAATTTTAATTGCGTTTAACACTCACGCAATTTTCATCTGTGAAACTTCTAATAGATCGCCCTCTATCCACGTAGGTTCGCCTTAAGTCGGCATCCACGTGAAACATGACTTTTCATCCGGCCGTCTATCGTCTGTGGTAGTGCAACATCCGATCACACAGTTGTATAGGATATAGATCTTATCTTCATCCTGTGAAGACTTTTTTAGGCCTGTCTCGTCCATACGAGCTGACCAAAGAGAAAGTATGAAACTTATCAAGTCTGCCGACGATTTCACGACTGCAACAGCGCAAAGGTTGAGAGAATGCAATGACAAGATTTCGTAGATCTAGTGTAGGCTTAGTGGCCTAGGATGTAGGTCAAAGTTAGATCATAGAATGTCCCAAATTGATCATTTAAGCATAACAGACAAATAGGCAAAAACTGATTGTGGAACCCTCTGCAATCTTAGTGAATAGGAGCTCTTTTTGTTGAACTTGTCACTTTTTTCTCCAATTAAAATCAAGTGAATTAAGCCTTATTTTTATTTTTCAGGACACCACCACTCAAGGTGTTCCACTTCAGAGCTGATTGGGCAGAGCAATGCCCAGTTGTTGATGGAGTCCTTGAAGAGCTTAGAAGAAACTTTGGAGATAAGGTGAGTGAAGGGAGATGGCACTTGTATAATCATGCTGGCTACAGCTTGGCTATTCACCTTGAATCAGGTAGTGGGAATCAGCCTAAAGATATTGAAGATAAGGAGAGAAAAGTTGTGAATTCTAATGAGTCCCAATGTGATCTCTTTAATGTAGCCTACTGAGTCATGCAATAAATCTGAAGCTGTGAGATGTTGCTTCAATTTATAAGGTCAAGTTTTTCCGGTAGTCAGTGTATCATTTATGTTATAAATCTTCATGAAATATTTTGATTTTTGGCTATTTACTGCATAAACAAACATGGTATCCCTCTTCTAGGAACCTCTTCTTTGGATTATATATAGTGGAGCCATTTTTTCACATAGGTTTTATATTTGAAATATCTGCTTTTTAAAATAAAAATGAGTTAGGTACCTGCAAATTAAACACCAGCACGAAGCAAATTCTATGCATGCCTTCATGTTTTTACACTGGCACCTCTTTGTGTTCTTTGACACATGAAGGACAGACATACATAGGCATTGAGGTTTGATGGAGATGTGCAATTGCATAATATAGTGATGTAACAATTGGTGATCCAAATATAGTCATGTTCTTTCAGTGACACAGTGAAAAGCAAAAGAGGACTGGGCAAAAAGCGAAGAAAAAAATTATATGAACATAGATGTCGGTCTTGCAAAACAGCTAAATTTTCACCCAGCAGCTCGGTAGCTTGGTGTAGGGTTATGAGGGCTATGCATTATGTGCAACATTTGAACTCTCAGCTCTTATGCATCTTCTTTAGGAAGTGGATTTCATTGGGGTTGATGCTGAGGCAATTCCTGAGATATCTTCAAAGTATGGCATCAGTGCAGTACCTACAGTGCTGTTGTTAATGAATGAAGAAGTAGTAGATCGCATAGATGGCGCAAATGCATCAGAAATCACCAAGAAAATAAAACACCAGGTAATGTGTATGTCTCATTCTTCATTGAGGCTTTTCCATTTAGTTTAATTGAGGAGTTTTCTGGAAAAGGGGCATATGTGCCCATACACCCTTCTTTCATATTTGTGTCCATGCTCTGCTTTAAGTGACTAGTCATAGGATAGGATGGTCAGCAAGTAGTTAAGATGCATTTTCAGCAAAGGAGAAGTAGATTTTCCTATGCTCTCACTGTATAGCAGAACAACTGCCTGGCAATTTTAATATGGCTGCCTCCATGAATATTTCATTACCACGTGCATGCTGAATGATTTTGGTGGAATTATATCGTCCTTTTAAACTAAATGTGAAAATGAGGAAGAAACCAGATGTAAGGAAAGGGAAAGAAAGAGGCCCAGTCATTCAAGCCTCTGGAAGGATGTGAGAAGTTGGAGATATCCATGAAATAGTTACAGATTCAGATGATCATTAATAATGGATCACTGCTGAGTAACTGGTGAATGAAATGTGTCCTGAATGTTCACATTTTTATTGCTATTCTTTGAGAAAGAGTTTATTTGAAATCTTTAGATGCATTCATTGATAAATTATTATTTTTAGCTGGAAAGTAGTGGTGAAAGAATCGGAATAGAATTTTAGCAACACAGATATGGAAAAAGGGCATACGTGCATAAATACTTTATGCCTGTGTCCCAGCAACGTGAGATAAATAAATTCTTTAAAACCCCAAGTTCAATTGGAAAAAGGTCTAAGATACCATTTTACTGAAAATTAAGTTTTGACCAGCTTCAGATTAGCCATGGGAAGTTTTTATCTTTTATCTCAAATTGCATCTATTGCACATATGCCTTTTTTCCAGAGAACTCCTCAATTGTGGTATATCACCATAGAATTGATGCCACTATGGGATGACATATGAACTGGTTTATCTGTAGGTAGCTCGAGCAAATATTTTCAAAGACCAACTTGAATCACCAAAGGAGCCCTTGGAAGATCGTTTGAAACGCCTTGTGCATTCTGCTCCATGCATGCTTTTCATGAAGGGTTCTGCAGAAAAGCCTCAATGTGGTATGTTACTTATTGATGATTGCCATACACTTTTGTGAAGCATGAAAATTCTACGATTTTCCAGTGATCATTTGTCCAGAGGATGGTTTATTTTACTCAAAAAGAAAAGAAAGCATGGTATCCAAATGTTATGCACACACTCTGTGCATTCAAGGTGCATAATTTATGCACCCCTTTACTACATGTACATTGCCCATATCCAAGTCTGCTTCCTTAAAAACAAGTAGCTTTATGACAATGTAGAACAATTTTAAGATTTGAGTTTCCTCACTGCATGCAATTACAAATCATTGATGATAAGCATTGACCCTACCACTGTTACTGCCCTACTATGCAAGAAAATGATAAAACACTGTCACACCCTGAACATGGTTACCAACTTGATAGCTTACCCATATTTACTCTTCCCCTTAGAACTGCAATTGCTTGAATGCAAACTGCAAAGTTTGCCTGCTGCCCTGACCCCACCAACTTGATCTGTTCTACTTTTCATTACAATGATAACTGGTGCACTTTTTTTGACTGAAAACCTAATGAAAAAACCATTATAAAATATAAAAATAATAAGTATGAATAAAATAAAAGCCTATTGTAACTATAACTGAATTAGATTGAGCTTTCATTTCAAAGTGAACCATTTCTTATGTCCATTGATGCAGGATTCAGCAGGCAGATGGTGGAGCTGTTGAACAAGCATAATGCCTCCTATTGTACCTTCGATATTCTGACAGATGAAGAAGTTAGGCAGGGACTCAAGAAGTTCTCTGATTGGCCTACTTATCCTCAGGTGAATGTTAATATTAGTGGTTTTCATCAATCATATAATTACTTTTTCTGCTTGACTCATCCCTCCTTTTGTTTTCAGTTGTATGTGAAAGGAAATTTAATTGGAGGACTGGATATTGCCAAAGAGATGGATGCAAATGGAGAACTTGCATCACTTTTACCAAAGAAACAGTCTTTGGAAGAAAGGTATGCCTACTATCACTTAGGCATTGATAATCATGAATGCTTATCAATTAAAAGTATGTTTCAATTATTCATTGACATTAATATAGAATAATTAAAATTTAATGAAACCAATGGGTCCTCCTCGAGTGTGATGGATGAAAGATAATAGAGGCTGTCATATCTTTGTCATCTCTATATTTTGCATTCATCTGATTACCTTTGTTCATATATGTTCTATTGAAGTATGTTTTGGCTTTTTTTTGGCTTTTTTTTAAAAGACTGAAATGAAATTGGAAAAAGTAGCAAGTACTTTGCTGCAGGTTTGGGGAGCTGATTAAAAGTCAATTCATTTTTATTGATTAGTCTAATACCATGTGGACCAAATAGTTGTTCACCCTTTTTCATTTGATTACTACTCCCACAAGGATTATAATGTGCTCCTGCAATTTTGTGGGTAAATACTAATAGTACTACTCTTTCATGATCTGATGTAATTTATTTCAAGGACATAGAATTAGTAGTTCTGACATGTTTACCATGTGAGATGAAAAAATTGCAGTTGCACATACATCATTTCATTAACACGCTAAGATAAAATTCCTTAATTTCTCTTTTCCTGAAAGAAGAGTTTTTTTTTTACAAAGGGCACTCAAAAAATAAGTTGCAAAATAAAAATACAGACAAGGATATAGGGTAGATTGCAAATCTCAGGATTTATTTATCCACATAATCCCCCTGTATATTAAAACACTTGTCCCACCTGTGTACAAGCTGGCATATGCCACTGGCATAGAACAATGTGGCCTGGCATCAAAGCCATTAATGTCCAGCTAATTACACCACCTCATCTGACGTGAAATAGTAACCACCTTTTTTTTGGGGGGGGCTATTGGAGATGGTCACTTGGTGTGAGACCTAGTCTTTGTTATGAATGTGGCAGAACCATTCAACCCAGAATGCCAATGGGCGTGTCTTTTTTCCTAGCAGCTCTGCTATCTCTGCTGGGGCCTCCAGCATCCCATGACATCATGTTAAGGCTGAGCTGCTCAGCCTTAACATGATGACATAGTTCGCTATGTTCCACTGCCAGCTGCTTGCCAAAGAGTGATGTCATTCGATGACGTGGTCTTGCTTTGCCAACGCATCTTTTTCGCTAGCAGCTGCTAGCGGCTGGAGAAAAAAGACACACCCAATGACTTCAGTCATCCCCTGTGTTGTGTATGACCTGACATTGCCATGCATGAGGATTGCCCCTGATGCAATAGTCCAAGACTTTTATTGCATATTGCATCCCTCAAACATTGGAGTAGAGCAACATACCACTCTGCTATTACTGCAGTGCCTGGCTCCAGAAATTCCATAAGAATCATGCCAGACATGTCCTGGAGGTACAATTAGCTATACATGAAAAGCCTTGGTGTCATTCATGTATAGCTAAATTGTACTCTGATACTTCTCTGTTTTTTTAAAAACTTATTTCTCTCCAGCTGCCAAGACTTGGTCAGAAATGTTGTCAACCCTCAGTATAGCTTCACTCTCATTTGCTGCCAACTGCTTCCTATAGATAGATCTCTCCATCAGCTTACAATGGGGAATGTGGCTAATTTGACATAGCTCTATCCTTGTTATGGTGCCAAATTGGTGATAAACAACAGTGGCATTATGTTGAGGGTTGACCACAGGACATCCAGGACAGATATTCTGCATCACTCTCGTATATAATGGGTTTTCTTTACAAATAGTGCATTTTCATCCAGTCTACTATTCAGCATAAATCATGTTTGTTTTGAAGTCTTCTGATGAAATCCTTACAACTGATTTGGGATTTCCCAACTTTTTTCTTTTATCAGGCTGAAGACTTTGATAAACAAAGCACCTTTGATGGTGTTCATGAAAGGGACCCCCGAGGTACCAAAATGTGGTTTCAGTCGAACTCTTGTACAAATTCTTCATGAGATTGGGTAAGTCACCTGTTTGCTTCAAAGATATCCTGCCTTAAGCCTGATCGTATCATCCTTATTTGAGTCCTTTCCTTCTTCCAGGGTGAAATTCGAAACATTTGATATACTTGGTGACGAGGAAGTGCGGGAAGGGCTGAAGAAGTTCTCTGACTGGCCAACTTACCCTCAAGTTTATGTGAAGGGAGAGCTTGTTGGTGGTTTGGACATCATCAAGGAGTTGCAAAAATCTGGGCAACTCGTGGAAACATTAACTCCAAAGTGATACATCCTCAAAAATCTCAGTTTTGATGGGATTTTATCTCATTCTGCTCCTGAAGTCATGTTTTGTGCTACCCCCCAAGTAATTGGAAATGCCATTCATTACATGAGATGATTCAACAAGGTTTTCATGAAAATTTTCTCCTACTGTGGTGCATCTCACTGGAGTTTGCAGTGCTTATGTAATGAATAGAAACTTTAAGTATTCTTTTATTCATTGTTCATGAAAAACTGTACTAAAGACCAGCAAATCCTTACATTGACCATATATAGAGTCCTTCATGTAAATTTTTGCATGTTTAATTGGGATCTTTTGCAAGGTTTATTCATGAACAAGAAATAAAAGAATCCATAGCTCAAGTGTCTTATCATGACAACCTTGCAGATTTCCCCAAAACATACTTAGCCTGCTAAGTGTGTGTAGTGTATTGCTCTCTTTATCTCTCTTATTCTCTCTCTTTCTCATGTGCTGCCTTACAAAGAGGAGTCACTTGTGAATAAAGTGAAGTTCATCCTTTAGCAGAGGTTTGGAACCCCCTTCTGACTGACTTTATTTCTGGCTGAGTTTTAAAGAATATTTTTTCTCCAAAAATGAATAATTGCTGAGGCAAAATTTTGAGTAAGTCCACTGTAGGAGTGGACTTACTCGAAATTTTGCCTTGAAGAATATAAGTAGAACTTAATTTATGACAAGAAAGTCACTTGTATGCTGAACCAAATTCCTCAAAACTTCATGTTTAAATAATTGCCTTTAAAGACTCCCCTTGGACATCATCCATGAAGTTCCTTAGTTCGAAATGTCAATGTTCCTTACAGGTTTGCATTTCTCCTTGTTAAAAACTGCCAGAAACCATACAAGCATAAAGAACGATTAGATTTCTCCATAGCAAAGTCTAGGAATTCTCCCATTCGGCGTCAGAGGTTCTTATAAGCCAGTGTAATTCAAATTATGTGTCATGATCAGGACCGGAGTAAGAAGTTGCAAGGCCCGGGCAAGTGGATTCTTGAGGCTACCCCCCCCCCCCCGCTACTTTACGCAGATATTTTACGTTTTTAATTTCCTTCGGGGGACCCTCCCTGGAAGAATGGGGCCCGGGGCAACATCCCCCTTAATCCGGCCCTTGCCATGATAAGAAAGGGGCTTCTATCTAGCGCGTCACGCATAAAAAGGTTGAAAAATATTGTTCTAAGCGACAGTATGAATACGGTACACCGGGTCTTATCAAGTTACATTAGATTGATCAGAGCCAAACTACTTCCTCGTGCTAAAAAAAAAAAAGAAAAGAATTGTACGGAATAACATTTTTCCTCTGACCGTCCGGTCTGAAGTTCTTGACGCATCTCATCTATTCGCTCGACATCCCGCGATTAGATTACGCGTCTTATGCCAATCTTCCCCTAGTGGGAAAGATTGGAAGGTGCCTCCAAAAATTTATGTTGGTCAAGTTGACAGACCCGTGTTCCATAGGACAGGAGGACTTCTTAGCGATATCATTCAATTCAGAGAAAATAATTTCATGTGGAGTGGGAAACGGGTGCACTCCCTGGTGTTACTCTGTGATGTTGAAATGGGGAGGAGGTCCCTATTCCTTCACGAGAGAAATTGAGTGGGGGTTGAATGAAGATCGCGAATGGATTGTTATCAAATTGTAATCACCCGTTGTTCAAATAAAGGTGTTGAAGTAATCGATTGCTTATAAGAATCCTTAAGATCAATATTAGACCTACTTACAAAAAAAAGGATTACGTTCATGAGTGAAAATTATTGCGGAAAGTGTCATACTATTCAGGATACGTGACCGATGTATATTAGGGTGACCAGATTTTTTTCAGGAAAACCGGGACGTTAGTCCTTGCTATGTGGAAAAGCTGGGACACCATTATGGAAAGGAATAAAAATTCAAACCAGGACAAAGTCTGAAAAATCAGGACTGTCCCGGTAAAACCGGGACGAATTGAATCAACATTGATTCAACGCTGGTTCAACGTCTGGATGTTGAATCAACATTGAATCAATGTTGTTTCAATGTTATATGCTACTAGGGAAGGATCAAATCCTGCCCTTGCGTCAACCGTAAGCCAGTGGATACCCAGCAAACAATTTGAAAAACATAATGTCGAATCAATGTTGAATCAACATTGAATAAAAGTAAGGAACTTTGATACAGCGTAGCCTTGTTTGCTGGGTAAAAGTTACTCCTTAAAGATTCCCAGGTAACACAGAACATTGAATCAACATGGATTGGATGTGGATTGAGTGTGCGAATGTTGAAGGTTGAAGGTGAACATTGTCTCAATGTTGATACAATGTTGTCGCATCACATTGTGAATTTCAATTGGGGAATATTCGGATTATATTTATTAGATGAAGCACAATTGTTAACCCCTCTTAAAATGATAAAGGGTGAGATCTCTCCAATAGGTTTTCGGAGTACTATCAACCTACCACAACATGGTTTCAATGTGGAAAAAATGACACTCCACAACTATTGAGTTGCATGTCATTTATTATAAAGTATTTGAAGAATGATATTTTTTTTAATTCGGAAACAAATACATAAACCATTTCCAATTATCCTACGGTCATTGCGGAGACGTCTTGCATCCTCTTATGGACGTTATGTTACTAGGGTAGTGTAGTCTAGGCGCATTCATAATGAAGTACCAAGAGAGCTCACTAGATGGTATCCATGTTCCCCTGTAGCCTCCTAATGCAATTACGGATCTGTCACCTTCCATTAAAACGTTTTCTTCCCACTTTCCTCTTTTTATTACGTAATTAATGAACACATATATTAGAGAAATGTGGAATTATGATGTTCTGATTGCAGAATCTGATTCTGAAAAATTAAATGCCCAGGTTTAGTGTGAGCGCATAGAAGTCTAGGCGATTGGAGACGTGTAGAGCAGTGTTTCCCAAACGGTGTGCCGCGGCACATTGATGTGCCGCCAGTAAGGCTTAAGTGTGCCGTGAGATTTGAGAGTTGACAAAAAAATTAAAAAAACTAAAATTAAAACATTTAAAAACAAGAGGAAACGCCATCTTTCAGTGGAAAACGAGCCGAGAGTTGCACTATCACGCCTCGTAAAAACTGCTGTGTTCAGCGAAGCAAGCACAGGTTTCCCATCGAAAGTGAGTAAATGGCTGGGTGTGCCGTGGAAAGTTCAAGTGTCCTTAGGTGTGCCGCAAATAAAAAAAAGATTGGGAACCACTGGTGTAGAGCACACACAAGAATAACCTGAAGTGATCCATTCACAAATCTTCTAAGAGAGAAGCTGAGAGAATTTATCCTCATTTCGCAAACCAATTAAGTATACAAGGCTTTAGTGCTGTTTGCAGAACTGAAGAGGACCCATTCTCTCAAACTTCTAAGTACTCTGCGGGTACTGACCTATAGATACTGAAGAGGATTTATCCTCTTTCGTATATGTAGTTCATCATCCACAGGTCATGCGATTCATTTTGATGAATTTACCTCTACTTTATCCATGGAGAAACGCAATCGCGAGGGACTCATTGAGGAATGTTGAATAAATGTTGCCATCAATATTGTTTCAACATTACATTTCAATGTTGACAAAAATGACATCTTCACATTGAATCAATGTGGTACCTCAATGTTGTTTCAACATGATAAATGTTGCCATGAAACATTGTTTCAATGTTGTTTCCACATGGATGTGTTACCTGGGTTGGTTTCCTGCCTGAATTAGGAAACTGGTGAGAAAGAATTTGCATAGGTTAAGGGTCATTATGTTGCAAAGGTACAAGTGGACTAAAACTCCAAGGTTCAGTCGTACGTGTGATATTTGTGAATGCTCGGGAATATCCGGGGAATGCCTCCTATAGAATTAAATTATTGCCAATTTAGGATTGCACCTGTAATGGACTCATTTCTGAAGCTCTGAACCGAAAGCGCCCACAGTAATTTTCACTTACTCAGACATTTCTTCCATTTCGACACTCATGCATGAGCAACGTCCCATGCACCAGTATTCCAGTCAAGTGAAATTTGTCAAGTTGAAAAATTACTAAGATTAGGCTCCAATATGGCGTCTTCCTGGAGGGCGCTCATGGGCACGCGACGCACGTGTCTTTCGATGTTGGCGATTTTGCCTGTGTCTCACATCTCTGACACTGAGTCGACATAGTTGGCTGAAGTGGTGTGTCTAGTGCTGTCTTTCCACCTATACGCTTAAGCTTCACAGTAGGAGCACACGTGCTCTGCTTGTTTGTGGCATGGGAGAAGCTTCATCATCTCGTGCTGGACCCATCAAACACAGGACAAGGTCCACAGCTGGGCGAGATGTTGTCAGATTCCATCCATCTCATGTGGATGATGAGGGGCTCATTGACACTGAAGATGAGAGTTGGGACACCGAATCGGGTGCTGCCGAGTTCATGATTGATTCGGACGAAGATGAGCCATTTGTTCCTTTGTATTATCACAATGACGGTCGAAGTCAAGATAAAGCCCACTGGCCCACTCGTAAGCACATTATATACCTGGGATTCTTTGTAAGCTTTCAGCTTGAAAAGGCCGAGTTCATGACTTAGATACGGCCATGCCTAACTGATGTGACAATGTGGGAAAAAAAGCTTAGTTTTAGGCCTACTCTCATTTCCCCTTCTCACTAGTAGGACAAGGGGACAGTATATGGCTTGGCACTCTTTAGAACATGCATTTTCATTGTAACAGTAAGCACCATTGCTGTCTCCATATCCTCCCACTCAATAATGTAATCACTTTTGGGCCTTATATTAACATTTCCTCAGCTCTTTTGGATTTTTGCTAAATTCAAATTAAAACTAACCACAGAGAAGTAATAAATACAGTGCAAGTGAGCTGCATTCCTTCTATCTTTGGGCTGAAAGAATGAGGAAGTCAACATATATTGGGGAATTATGTATGGGTTAGAAAATAATCATGGCCAATGGCTATGATCCATCATAGCTCACAGCCGAAGGCCACAGTTATTTTCTAATCCAACTGACCCTTCATCTCCAAAACAGGTTGACTTTCTCACTTGTTGGCCTTTGACACCAAACTTATGGCAATGGTGGTTCTATGACAGGATGGGATGAGAAGTCAAAGGACATAAACCATTAGTACTGTACTTGATATAATTGAAAGCCTAATCTAAGTCTACAATTGAGTAAATAAAAGCTAAACATGATACTAGTATTGTTTCATTGATTTTGGGGCATTCCCATTTAAGGGTTAAAACACACCTCTCAAAGCTATACTCCCTCTAGTTTGAATAAAAAGACCTCAGAATACTCCCTTCCCTACTTTGATAAAATGCCTCATATGCTGTTAATTTGTATTTGGAGGTGTAATGGGGTTCTGTACAGTCTTTCACAGTGCCTGCCATACACATTATCTCTTTCGTAGGGCTGCGCTGATATATCAGCAACCATTTGTACCATCAACCATCTTTAGGCTTGCAATCTGCTTGTTTCATTGCCTAAAGAACATGGCAAGTGAAGGAAAATGAAAAGGAATTTGTGACTGCAAGGCAGTAAATGATTCTCTATGGCAATAGGGAAAATGTATGACTCTTACAATGCATGAATTAATTTTATTATCAATAGTTAGAGGCATCAAGAGCTTTATTACCCATTGTGTTGGTCATCATGGATGTGAAATGAGAGAAGTGAAATCTCCACTCAATTTCAATGAGAGTTGACTGAATTTGCTGGCATCTTTCCCTCTTTCCATCCCTCTCCCAGTGATGCATCAATGCATTTTCTATTATCAAGTTAGGTACATCAATGTTTTCAAAATGGCCATCATGACATGACAACCCATAAAGAGGCTTCCAGATAGGCCTATTGTAATAAATTTGATATAATCATTCTTTGCTCTCTATCTATATATCACAATTGGGATCAGTCAATGGCTATGAGATAATAATTGGTCAAATGTGGGCACTGATACAACCCGACTTCATCCATATAATTGTTTTTTTTTAATGAAAATTAAAATTCCAATTTTTATTGACTAATTGGAATTTCACATACAATGGCTTATGTTCAGAGAAGAATAGAGAACAGTGGAGCCCCCATCATGCAAGAAAAGGCCAAGTAGAGGAAGAGTGGGAGCCATCAAGTTCCATTTTGGATTCTGAAGAGGATGGTGATGATGTCGAAGAAGATCTAAGATTTGCTGGTTGGAGTGTTCCATTTGAGGAGGAATATGTTTCAACTGGGTTGGGGGACTTGCTGTTCCTGAACCGGGCAATGCAGGCACGATTGAAAGTGGAAATTGACCGCTTGCAAGAGTTTTTGATGGAAGTCCATGCAGCCCAGAAAAATGTAAGACATCTCCATCAGAGAAGCTGTATATTGGATGATTGTACATGTCTATACAAAAGCAATTTTGCTCTGTACTTGGTAAACCTTGCTTGTTTGGACTTGACATATCTTGCTTTTTTTTTCGATTTAAATTGGTTATTGGAGTGACTTTGACCTGAATTTGAATGATTAAATGAATGAATGTTAAGACAAGAAGAAAGTATAACACTGTAATCATTTTAGTGCTCAATTCAAATAGTAAAATAGGTTTAGAGCATTAAGAAAGAAGGGGGAAGGAGAATAGAGGGGGGGAGAGAGAGAGGGAGAGAATGAGAAACTAATGGGATGAAATGGTGAAAGAAGTGTGATAGGGAATCAACATTAATATTGACATAAAAAGGGTTTATTTTAGGGCTTCCCAAAGAGCCTGAAGATTCACCCTGGGCCTCCAGAGTTGGAACAGTAGCCTAAAAACATATATGCTACTTTTGCAGTTAAATCCTCATATTTCCAGTTCAGTTATGGTGGGGACTACAGTGGGCATTAATTTAAAATATTTGAGGACTGGAATATTCATGGTTTCAGTTGTACTTTCAAGATTAGCAAATTTACAGGAAATTTCTACTTGCTTCATTGCAATTTTTTTCTTTCCCATACCTGTGTAGCTTCCAGGAACTTATATTCCAGGCCTTTTACCATACTTCAGATCCATTACTGGAGATGTTCCTTTCTTCAGTGAGAACGCTTGGAAGCGTTCAGAGCTTCGTCCACACCCCTGTAAGTTTCAATTTTCTGAATGGGCTAATGAATGATCCAAATGATCTCATTGCCCTAACTTGAAGCTTTGTAAAGTCTTAAAGGAACTTCTCAAGAATGGTGTGTTTGAGCATTGGAAGTACCTCAAACATTGCTTACAGTTGAAGTAGATATGTAGGCAACATGCAATATATGAATAAAGACTGGATTATTTCAACATTTTACAGATATTATGTATACCTTAATGTATCTTCAGTTTCAGAATATCTATATGATGGACTTTGCAAAATAGGTGGTTCAGAACTGGTCATTAACTCTTTCCCTCAAAGGATACCCAAACCTTTGTGAATATTGACATGATATTACATTGACATCAGGGAAAGGGTTAAGAAAGCTATATCAATGTGCTCTTCTCTACTGATTTCAATGGGGTCTTTCACCCGTTGACTGGGTATTTGGTGGTTATTAACCCATTGCAGTAAAGAAGATAGGTATAATTGTCACCTGACAATGTGTTGGAACAGGCATTTTTGTTCTTTATTTTCTAAATGCATTTCCCATTTGATATTTTTAGTTGATTCTTGATAGTTTACTGATAATTTATGATGAAAATTCATTAGATGTAAAAACTTTCTTTGCTTGCAAAAATGATAATTTTTGCAGATTTAACCTCTGGCACACCACCAAAATTCATACTGCAATGAGTTAAATGGAGAAAATAGGTCTGAATCCCATATGAGCCCAATTGCTCCTCATTCATTGTATCCTCCAAAACTGCTTATTACATGGACTGTGGCTCACTTATGCCAGTTAGCACCCTATGCAACCTCATGCAACTATTATAGCATCATATGGGACTGCACAAAGGTGTTCTGGCCTAAGGAATCAGTGTTATGCTTGAGCCAGTAGTCCCTTTCCTTCTCTGATTACCAGTATCCCAATTGAAAAATGTCCTCCAGTGTATCACTCAGGATGATATGTGGCCATTCTGTTATATTTTTTTCTTCCTTTCCCCTAAAAACAAGCTGCATAGTCAAGGAGTGCAAATCCTGCATACATTACAGGTGTCCTGCATTCTCTGTTTTCCTTGTGTGTCCCTTCCAAAAAGAGGGAAAAAGCTAAGAGAAATCTAGTAGTTCAGTTAGGATATTAGAGGTGGCTGAAAAATTTCCTCAGAATGAAATTTTAATTTTCCATAATATCCTATGATCCTATTATCTCAATAAAATAGTGTTTTCATAGAAATTCCTTCTTGGCTTTGTAGGGTCTGTTGCTGAAAGCAAACACCTCATCCACTGCATCCATGAGAACATCAAAGAACAGGAGTTGAAGAGGATTGAAGCAAGACTAGATGTCCTGAAGGAAAAAAAGCTTGTGACTATAAACAAAGCTGATCAGCTGGAGGTTCATCGTCAGATAGCAGCTGCTGTGATAATTAAGAACAGCCTAAAAAAAAGTGAAGCTTCATTGTTTGTGAAAGGTAAAAATCAAAAGATTGACTGGATGAAGATATCATGCCAAGTGAGTGACTAATGCTGCTCTTTGAATGCATGCAAGCATTGAATTATACTAGCATCCAAAAGAAGCATTACAAGTTAATGGAAGATTTGCCCATGTAATCAGAGTAGTGATAGCATTGCTGTTTCCTCAGTCATACCTCAGGCCAATAGGCATGAGGTATGACTGAGGAAATTTCAGGGTGAATCAGAGAAGACTGAGGCATTTGAAATATACCAAAGAAACTTGTTTGCTGGTCATTCTCTTTTTTTTTTGTAGGTTAATATTCTCCAAGGTTTGAAGTTTTATCTGCTGTAGAAAAATTGAAAGTAGCATATTGTACGTAGATTGTGGAACTGTTTTTCACAAAATTCTGTTTGCTGCTTTAGTGCTTGATCTAACTTCCTGCAATAGGTGACAAACTGACTTGGACAGGCTACACAGAATTACCATTGCTATTGTTGCTATGGTTTCTGGTGTTTGTGCTGTTCACATTCATCTTGGTCTTTCTGCATCACCCACAGATCCTGAATCAGGGAAATTTTTGATGTGCCACAATATTGTGTTATGAGATGATACATCTCTGACTTCTAACTCATATTGAAATGCACATTGTGCTTGCACAGTAGAACCTGCTGCAAAAAAGTTCCTTGTACAATAAGTTACTTCCCAATTTTCTTTGGTACATAAATATCAAAACTTTGAAGAATATTAATTGACAATGAAAAAATTTGAGAATGAACAGGAAATACATTTTCATTGCAAATTTCAAATGTGTCAGTCTTCTCTAATTCACCCTATTTGTTTTGGCATATAATTCAGCTACATGAGGTCAGACTAAGACCTATCTCTGCTTATCCTCACATTACTCATTTGAGGGTAATTGCTAGAGTGTTTGAAGATCAAAATCTGACCATGTTTTATCATCAGGGTAATTGCATTTAAGTTAATTTCAGGTTATTTTCCTACAGATGAAGCGGCCTCGCAGTGATTTGGAGTGCTACCTGATTTGGGTCAACTGCCTCCATCCATCCATTTATAAGGCTTCTTGGTCAGACGAAGAGGTGGAAGTTCTTGAGGATAAAGTAAAAGACATGCTGGAATCTCATTGCCATGTAGACTGGAACAAAGTGTCATCCTTTCTCTCAGGACGAACTCCGCTTCAGTGTCTCCGTCGATTTAGGCAGTTAGAGCATAAGAAGATTAAACGATGGAAAGTAAAGGAAGAGAAATCGCTTGCTGAAATTGTATCAGAGAATGATAAAGCAGATGGCCATGTGCGCTGGTACAAGGTGAGACATTGGAACCCAACATGGTTCATTTAAAGGAAGGGTATTGTGCATATACTCAGTCTCTTTTGTCAGGTGTCTGCAATTGTTGGAAATCGAACTCGGAAGCAGCTTTCTGATCATTGGACTACAGTAGGAACTCCTCTCCAAGGTGCAAAATTCACTCTGAAAGAAGATCATTTTCTTCTGGCAGCTCACATGATATGTGGCAACAATTGGGCTCAGATATCTGCATTCATGCCTGGAAGATCTCGACTGCAAGTAAAGAATCGATGCAAGGCTCTAGCAAAGGGGGCACCTCCTGTCTGGTCTCTGTAAGTCATCCTGTCCTGATTTTTTTGGCTGATTTCAATCTGAAACTGAAACTGAAATTGCAGTATATTGTGAAGTAACTAAGTAGGCATGACAGCACTTGGCTCTTCTTAAAATTGTGATGGCCTTGATCTTCAGGGACCAAATAGGTTGCCCTTACTGCATTGTCAATGAGTGAAGTCATATAAAACTGACATTAAGAAAAATTCCCAACCTGCTAGTAAGTGTTTATTGTGTTTTTTCATGTACAGATCATGTAGAGCCAATGTGCTTCTAGAGAAATACATACAATATGTAGACCTACTCATCTTTGAATTAAGGTTTTGTCCCTGGAAAAAGTGCTCCAGGCTACCAGATCCATATAAATTTTCCAATTTACTGGTAGATAAAAAACTGAATGGTATTCTGCTAAAGTGGACACAAGCATACATGTACCTTGAACACTATGAGTCTAGTTACTGGCTTTATTTGAGTTTTATTGTTGATGATCTGACAAATTACAAATTTAAGAGGGTAAGCCAATAAATAAGCTTAATGTTAGCATATCTTGCTCATTTATTCATCTAATGAGGTGAAATTTGGAATACATGTCGCTAGAAATAATCCTCACCAGAAGACATCAGTGTTGTTGGACTTATCACCGTTACGGTAACACCGTTTCTGGTGTATCAAAGATTGCAGTGCCCTTGTCAAGATGCACACTGGAAAAGCAGCACTCTGTGATAAGATTCCTGAGCTCAGAATGTATGAGACCATGCAAAATTCATGCCAGAATGACACAATAAGATGATAGATGTTTGAGCTGGACTACTGGGTATAGGTGTATGGAATAGTTCAAGAAAGGCCAAACAAGTGTTGTGAACAGACAGTGTACAGGCTGGCCTGTGAAGGCAGCAACAGATGCAGCATCATATATGTTGAAATACTGATTTTTGGGAAATTGTCCTGCAGGATTAGAGGATATAGTGCTGTGTGTGGGTGGTGGCCATGACAGTTTTCTCCATCATTCATGACTTGCTCAAACTCTGCAAGATTTGTGCCCAATGGTTGCAAAATACGTTGATGGATGAAGATGATAGCTCATCTTTGTTTTGCTACAGAACTCCTCTAATGCTACAGCAATGAAGAAAATTACTTTTTCAAGCATTAGCAACAGGAGATTAGTTGTTGATTCACCACATTGAACCAGAAAACAAAAGGTAAAGCTCAGAATGAAAACATCATGGATCCCTAACAACAACAATATTCAAAACCCAGCAATGTGCTGGAAAAATAATGAATGCATTCCATGACATGAAAGGACTGATACCAATTGTCTTTCAGAGAATCATGCAACCATTGCTATTGCTTCTTATTGTGAACTGCTGATTCATTCACTGAAACCAGCTATCTGGATTAAGCACCTTGGATTGCTGTCCTAGGGAGTACTCCTTCAGCACAATAATGCCTGGTCACGCACAACACAAGCAACCGTTGCAACTTAGCAAGCTCTGCATTTAACTGTTCTCAACCATTCCCCATGCAGCTTGACCTGGTACTGTTGGACTTCCCATCTGTTTGGCATCCTGAAAGATGACCTCAGAGGATGACATGAAGGATGCATTGCAGGCGTGGTTCACCAGTGGGCCAAAAACCTTTTTCAAAACATAGGGTTTCCTAAACTTGTGACTCATTGGGGGAAGTACATTGCAGATGGGAAATACTATGTTGAAAAGTAAACTTCACTAGGACTGCAATTGTTCTTTTCTTCAATTAAAAAATATTTCAACTTATTTATTGACTTGCCCTTGTACAATTTTGAAATTTTGAGGAAGGCTAGAATTTTATTTTGTTTTTTTTTATGACCTACAGAATGAGAAATGAGGATTATTCAACTTTGCATCAGGAAGCTGAGAATATCTGCTCACTAATGGAAAGACAAACATTCTGCACTAATTCTTAGGTCTCAAAAAATAGTGAATTTTTCTTATTCTGGAAATGTTCAAAATGGCTTTTTTTTGTTGTCCGATTGTTGATTTGATGTCTGGAGAATTGGGATAAGCAACAGTGAGGTTTAGAAGGATTCACATGACACAAGAGAGGCAGTCTTCTACCTGATTTGTAAAACCTGGGCAATTGTGGCTGTGGCATAAGGCCTGTGCCTTCTGCTGTTGCTTTGTTTCCTTATTAGACGTAAACCTCATGGGATTACTTGATTGCCAGTACTGTCTGACATTTCCACAGGGGCGAAGACAGAATCCTCATGGAGCATGTGAGAGAAAAAGGACCAAGATTCTGGTCATTGGTGGCATCTTCCCTTGGTGGACTCAAAGAGGGCACAAGATGTCGAGCTCGATGGCTGCGGCTTGAAAAATATCTCCCAGATGACTCAGTGAGGAATTTACAGTGTCTCAGTTTAGGGTGATTCTTTTTCTTGCTTTCATCTTGCTTCAAAAGAGGGGGAACAGACAGAACAGGACTGGAAGTGGCCTCTTTCTTTTTGGAAATAACTTTGCAAAAAAAAAAGAATAGGGAAGATTCTTCATAGCTATTTATGCATGCTTATCTTAACTGATGCTGATGTCATAAGGTTTGGTTGGAAAAGGGATAGATAGACTGACTATCAGTGGATATCTTCAGCTTGTACATTTTTGGGACAGCTGATATCCTCTTCTTAGGTATCGGTCAAATGTGCCAGTATTGCACATTTTAAAAATGATCTTGCTGCCAACAATGGTATAATGCACATTACAGTAACTTCTTGTTTTTGGCTGTACAGAATTCAAGAATGAAAATGATAACTTACTTTTTTTTTAGAAACTTTGTGTTCTTATTTTACCTTACTTTTACATGTCTATCATTCCAGGACGAGTGGGAATCCTCCCTGGAGTATGCCCATGAAAAGTGCCCTCCATTACTATCCAGCTCGAGATGTTCTGTCAAAACAGAGGAAAGCTCAAGCAAGTACTCTGTTGCTCAAGCATTAGTTAGGTCTGCAAAAGTTCGTGTGAAGAACAAGCTGCCAGTGAGTGGTTGATTCTATTCATAGGTGTAACAGTCCTGAAGGTGAAAGCTATTAAAGGAGAATGTATATTTTTTGGAAGACCCCAGCCCTCATGTTGGCTGAACCATTATGTAGAATGCTTATTGGAACATAAAATTCTTTCCAGCTGATGACTGTATGTCTTTTATAGGATGACCTTCTTCAGATTTCACTTCTCCAGCAACTTCAACATCTGTGCAAACTCACATCCCAGCCTAGAATAAAGAAGAAGAAGAGGGATCAAGAAACTTCTGAATCTCTAGTCTCAGATTGTGAACTCCAGCGACGTACAAAGAAGAAGCGACAAGAGACATGCACAGCAACAGATCCCTTGGAAGAGGACCTAAGAAGTTTTTTCTCCACCAAAAGGATGCAGTCCCGTCATGGCAGGCCACGAAGTGAGTAGTCATTTTCTATCTCTAGTGGTGTTGTTTGGTGTATTAAAGACTGGCCAGATCATTAAGAGAGGGTTAAGTTGCACTTTTTGTTACCACAATACATTTTAAATGGCATAAACTTGGGGTTAAATTTAGTCTTCATTTTTTCAACCATAAATGAAACATTTATGATTGAAAATAAAAGTACATTCATTTGGGAAAACACATGTTGAGGTTCTTCCCTGTAAGATGTGTGAGACAAGCACATAAACATTGTGAGTGAGACTTATTGTCATTTTACATTTATTTATCAATCATGCATTTGAGTAACTGATTTCTTCAAATCTGGCCCCTCACAAACAATGCTTCTCTCTATGCTGATTATCTAGAGGCCTTTTCTTAACTGTGAGGTTCTTAGTCCATCCATTGCATGACATCATATGACAAATATTTCATGACAGGCATATAGAATGAGAATTAAAAAAACAATGCAAGGTGTGAGAACAAATTCGTCATGCCTATCACACCAAGCACCCTCTAGAAATGAGCAAAAACATATGCATCTTTTTATATCTGCACCCAACTCACTCTGGATGTATTAAGCATATTTTTCATTATCTGTTTTATAACTGATCTAAATTCAGAAAATGTTGGGCAAAGTTTGGATTTTTCCAGCATAGGATCTTTTTTTTTTATTGCATTATACAAAATAAAACAAAATGTGCTTGATGTAAATTTCAACCTATAGACTCCTAAGTATTATGTGGTTTTTGCAGCAAGAAATCAGACCTGTGATTCAAGAGAGGCTGACCAATTTGAAAAGAGCTTGCTGCTCTATCTGGGGCTAGGAGAGATGTATGCAACCAATCAGACTGAAGAAACGATGAGGCATCAAGTTTCACCTTCACCTCTTGCAGATACTGGTAGCTCAGAATAATCAGTTGTGGTCATTGATGGTTGCAACTACTGGAAATAGCATGCATCACTTATCATCTGTAACAGTTGCTAATGCTCTGGAGCAAGAAACTAAACATGGAGATTCCTTCTGGGACATCTTGAACGGTCTGTGGAGCCGAGACCTTATTGAGGAACCTTGTCTGGAGTACATGCCACCAAATGATGCCAATGTGACAGCTCTGCGTGCCATGCTTATACATCGGAACAGGCTGAGAGTTCTGGCAAAAGGAGCTAGTGAGGCAGGGGGTTTCCAAGGGATGAAACAAACCTTCCTTCAGCAGTTCCTTTTCTTCTTCAGTCTCCCAGCTTGGTTGGCATCAGACAGGTAAGTCATGAAAGGGTACTGGTATCTTCAAGGATGAACTTGTTATCTCTAAATAGATCTAGAATCTAACATAGCCATTTTCTGAAAAAAGGAAATGTTTCAGTTTCTCATTACTATCCTCAAAAGTAGCTAGTTCCAGTCACATTTATTGTGTTCTCAAACAGAGAATAAACATTAAATTACAGTCATTGGTTACATTTTTTATTTTAAAATAATTTGCTAATGCTTGAAACATAGTAAAAGGGGAATCAAGAATATATATTACTGTTGAAATCTACCCAAATTTAGTTACCATATTCCCAATTGTTTGAAGTTTTTTTAAAATATAGAAAAAGCATGAAATATGCACAAATAGAAAAATCTTCAAAAAAAGCTTTAATTTGAACTGTTTTCATGATTGTAATTTTTTAGAAACAGGTATTATTATTAAGAAAATCTAGTGAAATATGGCAAAATTTGATTTTTCAAATTCAATTTGTTGTTGCTTGAAACCAAAACGAATTGAAGTCCAATTTTGCACGTAGCTATCGACTAACATTGTTATGTTTCAGTAGCTTATTGTGTTACCATGTTTTGCCCTGTTTAACCTTTACGCACTGAGCATTTCCATATTAAAAAAGAGCATGTCTGTGGAAAATTTTGAATTTTGCCACATTTGAAGAGCATGGAAGCTTCCTTTCCACACCTGTAAAGGGAAGATTCTATGCTGTTCAAATATGGTAAAATTCGCATTTTCCACTTTCGTGCTATGTTTGAATTTAGAAACATTTGGCGTGTTAAACTATGAATGTGGAAAAGTGAGCAGAATAATCTTTTTCAGTCTGGTCTTTTTTTGTCTCAGCTGTAAGTTGACCCCAAAACTACCTTCCTAGCTCTTTGACATGCTGACCATCACACGACACACCATTATTTCATATTCACCTTAGGGCAGGACAGTGGTTTCAAACCCCCTTGGTGGTCAATGTGTTAAGGGCCAAAAATAACTGTCACACCCAAAGAGTCACTTTTCTCCCTGGGGGTTAACTTGGGACTTCATATCTTTAGTAAAATTTGAACTCAAGTGCTGAAATTAGGAACTTCACACCTCTTGGAGGCCACCAGCATGAATATTTTAAAGCAAATTCCTTTTGGAAACACAACTAATATTCCTGAAATTTGATAATTAGAACTAGATTGTCTCATCTTCTCTGGATGAGGTAATTGATTTGAATGATGAACACATTATTTGATTTTGCTTCTAGGTGTGGAGCATCAAATCAGGAGACTTGACCTTTCAAAAGTTGATAATCCCCTTGTCTTTATATTTTTCAAATAAATGTTTTGTTTTGTTTTGCAAGTATTAGCATTGTTTTGAAGCTCTTTGTGTGCCAATGACATGCTGAAGCATGTTTGAGACTGTATCTCATATTGGTTTTGGTTTACAGTTTCATGTTGAATCTTAGATTCTGGCATGTACAGTTTGTGTTATATCAAAAGATTTCAGCCCTGTGTGATCTCATTGACAGTTGCAGATTATATTCTGATTATACTGTGTAGATTGAAAACAGAAAATGAAAGCTTTGTGTTTGTGAGGTAAAACTAGTTAAGAAAAGTATCAGGAGAGAATGTCCCTAGATGACATCTGCATCAGATGGTTTGGGGAGCATGGTGTTGAGGCAGATGAGGAACCTCCACCACCTCACAACTGTATCACTCCAGGAGGACTGATCACTAGTGCTACTGGTTTCATGAGGTAAGTAGATCCCATGTTGAGAATGATTCTCTGGGAAAGGTGCAAGGTTCTTCCTATATTACTTTTTTGTGTTTTTTTTTTTCATGTGAATATGTGGTTCTTGTTTTAAAGTTATATCATGAATTGGAAGCTAAGTTGATAGCCTTCCAATTGAAGGAGATCTGACTATGCTCATTAAATAGCACAATAGGACCTGTATCTTGTTACCCCGTTTTGACAGAGGTCATGGAACTTACATGGAGGATGAAAACCTGTATGCTTCTGTGGCTGGTGTCATTCAAAAGGTCAACAAACTGATCTCAGTGAGGGGCTTCCAGTCCAGGTGAATTTTCTTGTTTCACTTTACATCAGCTCTTGATTACCTGGAATCTGCTTTATGGAGCTGCTCTGTTGTAGATATCAGGGAGAAGTTGGAGATGTTGTGATTGGAAGAGTTCTTGAAGTAGCTGGCAAAAGATGGAAGGTGGATACCAACTCCAGGCTTGATTCCATTCTCCAGCTCTCTTCTGTGAATCTTCCTGGTGGGGAACTTGTGAGTCTGTGTTCTCTCCTCATATTGCTTGCATCACTTATCTAGAAAGTGTGATGTGTGGGCTTTCTTCTGATTGTGAGCAGCGGAGGAAGACAGCTGAAGATGAGAAATCCATGAGGCAAATACTCCAGGAGGGGGATGTCATCAGTGCAGAGGTGCACAATGTCTATGCTGATGGATCTCTTGCACTTCACACAAGAAGTCTAAAATATGGCAAAGTCTGAATCCACAAAGTACAATATAGTTAGTAAGTTTGGGAGAAGTTGACAAAAGGAATGATGACTCTAACTCAATATTTTGCAGTTGAAGGAAGGAACTATGGTAAAAGCCCCACCTTGCCTCATATTGAGGAGAAAGACTCATTTCCATTCACTTCCCTGTGGTGTCACTGTGGTTTTGGGCAATAATGGCTACATCTGGATTGCTCCAACTTCAGCCGATCCAGAGGGAGGCGCTGCACCTCTTGTATGTGCATGAAAGGACTTTTTTTTGGATCAGATTTTTTCTACTGGGTTGTTGGTGAATTTCACTGTTCTTTGCAGAGCATTAATGAAGCAGATCGTCAGGTGGTTGCTCGTGTGCGTAATTGCATCTCAGCCCTCTCATCAGCTGGGATTGTTTTATATGACACCAGCATCCTCTATGCCTTTGAAGCATCCAACCAGTATCCGGTGTGTATGTTTCTTCAGTCAACAAATTCCCCTTTGTCATCAATTATTTGAGTGAAACTTACCCTCTCTCATGTAGGAAGTGAAGATGCTGTTAAAACCAGAAATTTCTGCCAATATTGCCAAGATAACACGGCTTCGACTGGAGATGGAGTCTGATAGATGAGGTCTTGAATGATTCCTCTGTCTGGACTGTTTTTGTTGGTTTTATATTTTTTTCCCAAAAAAATTGTATTCTTTCATGGAGATGGCTTTAGATTTTCATCCTTTGTCTCTGTCATTTCACTAAAGATGATGATCACTAATTACTTTGCACATCATAACAATGGAGTGAAATACTGTACAATATTATCAAATTTATAGAACTATGAGATAACCCTGGCTAATAAATAGGGTGCAAAATGAAATATAAACTCATAGACAAGGCCAGCCTTAGGCATGTGCCACGTGTGCCCCCGCACAGGGCGCACATTCACCAGGAGCGCCAAAACGTGCCAGAATGAATGGAGTTGTAATGGATGCCACCCTCAGTTTACTTAAGAAAGCGGAAATGCCCACCGTTTCGGCGTCTTTTTGGACTCGGGATTGACTCTTCTCCCTTCGGGGGTGGGGGGGGGGGTGTTGGTAGTCTCGTTGCACAGGGCTCCGAAATAGTTAGGGCTGATATCCTGCTCATAGAACTGCTCTCAAGCCAGCCGAATTTGCATGGATATGAGAGAGTGCCAAACGGACAGACACAGATGCAAATCTTCATTCACTCCTATCAAGAGAATTCATCCTAAAATAGGTAACAGTTCGAATGGTTCAGATTTACAACACTTTTAGCCTCAAGGAATAAGGATGTTGTGAGGAGATGAATGCAAAAGATCATTAACCTGAAAAGCACAATTGCATGGTTGACTGCACATATGTACTAAAATCAAGAAGCAAACGACAGGAAAAGGAACAGGGAGTTGTGGAAGAGTTATTAAGACTTCTAGACAGACTGGCTATTAAATTCGGAATGCTTTTCATTTTCTTCTAAAGATGGGATTGCCCAATTTCACCTCTTCAACTGGGAAGATTTTTGGTCAGAGTGATGGGGCTATATGCAAAGAAAAGCAGAATATTCCGGAGTAGTTTCTGGTTGCTACACTAGTTCTGACAGCAAAAAGCGTGTTTGAATCATGGAAAGGGAGACAAGAGTTTGCAATAGAGGCAATTCTTAAGTGAGGTTGCCCTTCCTCACTGTTTCAGGTACATGTTGCGTGATGTTTGTGGCCTTGAAATCGAACCTCATTTCAGTGGAATCGGCTCTTTCTACTTAGAACCTCTCTTGTGGAATAGAGGTATTTTTTAAAACCAATTGTCAAAAACACTTGGCACTGCCTCACTCGATGCCACAATCCTGTAGATCAGCGTTTCTCAAACTGTGGGTCGCGAAGGGATCATCGTGATGACGCACCAAATCTCTTTACTTTCATCAAACCAGACAAGACACCATACACTGTTTTCGGATTGAATCGGTACCCCCCCCCCCCTTAGGAGCGCTTCCATCAAGTACAGGCAGGACACCTTGTGGGTGGAAGGTGAAGTATTAAAAGAACCATCCAACAACCATTTGGAGCATCAGGTTTGACATCTAGAGGATCGTCTGGAAAGCTCGTGTTTTCTCCATTCTCCACAGTAGGGGGGTACCAATTCAATCCGAAAACAGTGTAAGAAAATTTGCACATAGCTTTTTGTCGTTTATCAGATCCAGTTGAGGAATGGCCAAGTAAGCTTGTCATGGAGGGATTGCTTGTGAACCAGGGGAAAGTAGAGGTACTAACGCCAGGGAGCCTCAGCATGATGCTAACTTTAAATATGTCGAGTAAGAAATCTCGTGCATGAATGAAGAAGCTCATGAATGTACCTTTTTCTACGCTTTTCAACAAACACTTCATCATATTCAGCACGAGTTCATACATAGACAAATTCGTGAACATTTTGTAGCGGCTAGACACAGCAAAATAAAGGATTCTCACCTTCACCTAGTTGAAACATATCCGCCAGGGGAATCCAGAAGGATTACTCACGTGATATCCGTCTCGCTCGAGTATAACTTAATGTATCCTGCTACGTCACTCCCCCCCCCCCCCCCCCGTGCGTTTCTCGATTAAAAGAAAATTCGAACGAGTTAGATCGTTATTTTTTCACATTAGTTTCTATTTGCAGACCTGGACTAAACCAAGTTCTCAGAACCAAGAGAAACTCATCCTGAAAGTTATCGTATTTACACTGGAAATTTTACTTCCGTGGCTTTTTGAAAATTTAATTCTTCAGTAAATTTACTGATTTCTTTCTCTTCAAGGATAAGGAAGGCTATTCTTTTGGCCTGCAATACGACTGTGGAAATTAAAAAAATGTCCAAGGTGCCAAGGGTTTCCTGGAAAAGCCGATGGGTTACAGGTCGCATCTTTATTCATGGGGTAGATCATATACTCAATGCCTCTCAATTTTTTGGTACCAAAAAATGGGGGTAACGTACTACTGGCTTCAATGAAAAAGGGTCGCGTAACCAAAGAGTATCGCTGCTGTAAATATTATCATAGTGTGCTATTCCTCCTTTAGCATGTGTAAACTCACCCAAGAGGATTGGAAACCTTTGGCCCAAGCGCCACACCACGAGGTCCCTTTTTTGCTGTCATGTTCCCCCGTTCACCGCGCTAGGGTCTGATTTTTTTTTGGAATCCATCAAAATAAGATTCAGCTACAAAGACGATCAATACAAAGAAAAATTGCCGTATTTCCACTACTATTCTACTACGTTACCCTTCGTAACGAAAAAGTGATCGCATCCTTCTAAAACATCAGCTTCGGAAACGACAAATTTCGAGCGGATCACTTTTTGGGGACAACCAGTAATAAGATACGAAAGTTCATACTGCCTACACGGTATGGAATAATTATAGACCAATTTCTGTAAATCCAAGGTGTCACCCATTCCGTGAGAAATGAATACATGCTGCCAATTGGACATGGGTTCACATGGGGGAAGGAAAATAAATTGTTTTTAAATTAATAAATAAGTAAATTAATTAAGTTTATTCATTCCTTCATCTTCAACCCCGTTCATTCCAACGTTATGGAATTGCGGCTCAAGCAGGCAAAAGGAGGATCCTCCAGTGGTTCCTGATCCCGGACAATGGACTCAGCCTCAGCGGGTGGGATGCCGGGCCTCGAATGACCAAGCTTCGCGATTTAGTCCGTCCATCTTTCACGAGGCCTACTGACTGATCTGTCGTTCGCTTTGGATTGGGAGTCTCTCGGGTGGCATACGGCACACGTGTCAAAGCCAATCTCTCGATTCGAAGTATCTGTTCGACCTTGTCGTTCTCATGGATGAAGGCGGCAATCATCCTCTCGCGACGCTTAACACCGGCCACCCGCCGCAAGGACCTCGTCGAGGCAGTTTGTATCCGTGACTTGATTCATCCCGGTCGTTACCTATAGTTAATGGCCATAAATGAGGATGGAGAAATGAACACCCTTAAAAGCCGAGCTTTGCCTCCTTTGAAATGTCAGATTTGGCAACAACGGTCCGTCAGAGTTCCGGAATACTGCAGAAGCCCTGGAGTTGCGGCTGTCGATCTCGTTTCCATATTGCTCATTTTCGAGAACCAGATCGCGAGATATTTAACTTCACAGGCTACTGTTCACCTTTTCCCATGTCAACGATTTGCTTATTTTCCTATTTTGCAATTTTGTGATATATACCTTCATTTTTTCGCTCGAGTATTTCTCAAGCGAAATCTTTCTCCTCCTTTAACAAGATCTCTTTTCCTTGAAAGAAGCATTTGCTTTCAAGCATCGGAGTTCCTCTCTTATAAATTGACCGGTCGGGAGCGAAAAAGAAATACTTTATTCAATGCGAGACGATGTCTCTCAAGTTGACCGCGAGTCTGCTCATGGATACCGCTGTAGGACATTCCTTTTCAGCCTCGACACCTGATTGGAAGGATGACAACTCTTACGATGAAGTCGACACGACGTCGTGTAATCAACGAGACGAGTGAACAGTTGCGAACCTCCTTCAGTATGAGTTCAGCCTCGTTAAGGCTGTCCTGGATTCCGGATATCTTGTCGGCATCTTGAAAATTCAGCTCAATCGTGTCCAGTTTCGAGAGGAGTTCTTCCAATCTTCGATCCAGCTCCTGATCACCCGCCCTAGTATCCAGAAGCAAAGCAAAATAAGTGCTGCTTCCACTTGGATATTAAAAATTTTTTTTTTTACGATTTTCCTCAGTGAAAACCCTTACTGTAAGGCCCTTGGAGACGGTCTTTGGAGTCTTGCCAGGTACTTCTGTTCCTCGCGATTCCCCAGTATTCGCTGTCCTCTGATCTTTTTGGACCATAACGAAAGCATTTGTACGGACGGTGTTCCGAAAGAAAAAGAAAGGGAGTTCTAAAAGTGACCAATTTTTACCTGCTCCAGATCGTCTCTGTTGGGATAACTGGGAAAGTCCGGATCTGTTCCGAATGCTGGCGCCCGTTCTGCATCAATACATACGATTTGGAGCATAGCGTTTGAAGAAATCCAACATGCGTACTATGTAGAACCAGATATGTGCATTTTCAGTGTGCTCTTTGGGATGGGGAAGGTGGGGTTGAGACAAAGAGGAGACTAGACTTGTCGACAATGAATTTTACAAATCCGTATGTTAAATTATCGGTATGGTAACATTTTCAGTCCTGTAGATTTAAAACTATAAATGTAGTAAAAACGAATTTTCCTTATTCAACCGTCTTCAATAAAATATCATTAACCACAAAAATACAAATTCCAAAAGAGCTCACAGTGACTCAGAAGTCTCGCTAGGCCTCAAGGCCATGCATTCCTATATAGCCCTGAAATATGTATACGAAAAAATGCGGGAATCCTCAGTCCTGCAGGACTGAAAGAGTTAAACTCAGTGCAAGCACGAGAAAAAGATAGCGCGTGGTGGCGGAAAAAAAAAAACTTACTGGGCCTGTACGGCAGGATAGAAGCGGCAAGCTCTTGCAGCTCGAGCGACTTCTTTCTCCAGTCATCCAGTGTTTGAACATCCCTGTCGTGGAACGGACGACAGTCATCCAGAAAGAAGACGCGGCAACAAAAAAAATTGTCAGTAACTTGGCATCTGGAACGCCGTTCCCAGCCTGACAGCGGAATTACAGTCGATTTCAGGACCTGGCTCTGTTGAAAAAGCGTCGCAACAACTTCCTGCTCCGCGAGTTTTCGGTTCTGTTTTGTAGTTTCACCTTCGTCGACAAGATTCAATTGGCAAAATTAAGAATTATCGATGGCTTGGAAAACTTTCGATGAAGTTTGAATGCCCAAAGAAGCCAGGCAGACGGGAAGAGTTGGCAGTGATATATTAAGGGGAATCGTTGGCTAGTTTTTAGTCAGTGTTAAGTACTTTTTAATCAGTAATTTATCGCTTGCATTTTCCGAAGAAAAAATTCACAAAAAAATAAGAACGAGAGGAAACTACGAATGAAAATATGAGCAGTCAATACCTGTGCTCCTGACGTACGGGTAATGGCTGCTCATATTTTCATGTGTTAAAAAAAATTGTGTCCGACTCTCATGGATAGACTGAGAGAGAGAGAGAGAGAGAGAGAGAAATAACATTCAATAAATTACTCGCCTTCGTTTTGAGTTTAGTCATACGAAAGTGGCGGATCTGTACAAACCCCGCATCGGGCTCGCATTAATTTCGGATAATGTTAGGCCTGTTGGGGGAGGTGGATATTTGGAGAGCAATATTCCAAAGAGTAATATTCATAATAATGCATTCCCAGAGGGCAGCACAACGCAGTAAGGATTGGGGCTTGTCCCGAACGGGATCGACTCATCCTTGAACAGGTTCGGTCCTGAAATTGAGCACGGAATATACGGGGGTCGGTCAAAAAGTAACAGGTCATCGGCGATCGTAACGATGACTACTGACGTATTTCGCACATAGTACTGCTTGTTAGAGTATCTGCCCCACGGACACGTTGACATTTGATTTTGTTGCCATCTCGTGTGCCCTCGCACAGTAACGAACAATGGCGGCTAAGATTCTTGACTGCACCAAGGAAGAGTTGCATTCTGTGATCCTTTTTTTTTTTTCATCGCAGGAGGTGTGAATAGCAACGAAAGTTTTCCCAGACTCAGGGCAGTTTACGAAGTTAACTGTATTGCAATAAACAATGTTTACGAGTGCGTGCGAAATTTCTAAAGTGGAATGACAAGTGTTCACGTCCCAAACGAACCGCGTCTGCAACCCTCTCCGTTCCACTTTGGAACTTTCGCACCTTTTCGTAAACATAGCTTCTTGCGATACAGTTATCTTCGTGATCTGCTCTGAGTCTGCGAAAAATCTTCGCTGCCATTGCCTTGCCTTGCCATTCTGCGACCAAAAACGGATCACAGAACGCAACTCTTCCTCGGTGCGATCAAGACCCTTAGCCGCCATTATTCGTAACTGTGCGAGGGCACACGAGATGGCAACAAAGTCAAATATCACCGTGTTCGTGGGGCAGATATTCAAATAAGCAGTACCACGTGCGATTACATTGCTATTTATATTTCCTATGTTACAGTCGCCGATGTCCGGTTACTTTCTGACTCACCCTCGTGCTTTCGTCCTGGCACGTACTTGAGCTTTTGGAGCCGTTTGTTGATCTCGTCGCAGATCATTCTCCGGCGTTTCACCTCCAGATCCAGCAGGTGCCTCGTGTGCAGCTCATCCTCGTTTGGGAGGCTGTACCTGTTGCGTGAGAGAAGACATCCATCCTCCTGAGATCCGACAGCTCCGCATGGTTGCCTGCAACCTCCAGTACGCGCCAGTGATCCGAGCTGTCTCGGGTCATCCCGCATTCGATGCAGAGCTGACGGCAAAAGCCGAGAGCGGGCTCGCTGCACACCGACTCCATTTTCGTTTACCCTTCGAGTCGGAAGCTTTTCGTTGCTATGAAAGCCTCTTTATTTTTCTGTAGGCAGAGATGAGCGCATCAAATGACTTTTAATGAGCATCAGGAAAATCTCATCATTTAACAGTCATTCGTGATCCCAGATAATTACTGCATCCGGGTTTGCATAAAAATGTTGCCAGGGCAACTCGCACCTGTTTCCCCAAATCACCCACTAAACTTCCATGTGCATGTTTCTTCGTAAGGCTGTCAGGACGACCCATTTTCGTGCAATTGGGTTATGGGTACCATATTCCCAGATAATTACTGCATCCGGGTTTGCATAAAAATGTTGCCAGGGCAACTCGCACCTGTTTCCCCAAATCACACACGTATTTCTTTTTCAAAAATGGCCAAATATATATATATATATATTTTTTTTAAACTGCCAGAAAGGTAAGCTTGGCCAAGGCGCAAGATACAGCACAATTCTTATTGTGTGCCATGGACTTTGCCATGGACACATAATTATGTCGACCTGCCATGACGGGTAAGTTTGCGGCTCCAGATCCCTCGTGTTATTGCACCAGATTGCCGAGAGTTTGAGCATAAGTATTAATCGTCCCGCATTTTTCCATATATGGTACCCATAACCCAATTGCACGAAAATGGGTCGTCCTGACAGCCTTACGAAGAAACATGCACATGGAAGTTTAGTGGGTGATTATTTGATAGCGATGTTGTGTAATTTCAATGTGATCCTAACTTGATTGCACTCTTCAGTTGCATTCATACTCATGTGTAGGTGCCGAAAAGACCCAAACGCCTCGATATCGATGAAGCCCCTTCAAATCCGCTGCTGCATTACCTATACGAGTACGCTGTACCACACATACGGCGGAGCCCATCTGAATAAAGACATCTTTATAATGGTATTTTTGCTGGGGGGGGGGGGGAGATTTAAACGATTTGCACGCACCCAGGTTTCGATGAGGTGAAGAAAAACGTCTCCTTTCCCGGATGCTGAAAAAATCATTTTAAACTTTTAGGCCCTGTTGCTATTACCCTATTGTACTTACGGTGCAGATTGATGATGAGCCATCAGCTGCACTCACTTTCATCGGCTTCCTCGGGTTCACCCAGTGATTGGCTTCATCTGTAAAGAGACAGGGATAAACCCCTATGATTCTGCACGGAAGGACATATCATGAAACGAATCCTTCGAATAATTACGTAAAACCTCACTATAGACTTGAGATGAGAATTGAGCGTGAACCTTGGCACCGTCGTCTGGGGGGGGGGGGGGGGGGGGGGGCGGGGGGGGAAGTAGGAGACAAGACGGGTTGGGAAGCTAAATTCACCTTCAGAGGAAAATGAAGGTAGATTTCGTGCTGCGACCGAACCTAGGGAGTCCGGGATGTCCTGCAGCTCGTTGTCGTCCAGCAGGAGAAACCGGAGCTCGCTCAGGTCCCCCAGAGACTCGGGCAGGCGTCGCAGCTTGTTCCTTCGCGCGTCCAGGTGTGTGAGGTTCGGAAGCTTCGAAGCGAGGGCCTCGGGGATCTCCGTCAGGGAGTTCTCCGTGAGGTACAGCTCCTGCAGAGGCGTTTATTCTCCGAGTTGTCGTGCGTTGACACGAGAAGGAATATACCCGTCATGCTGACACTTTTGCTAAACTATGATAAATTCACCTTTGGGAGAAAAGCAAAAGTACGTTACAATACCGTGCACATTAGCCCTTAAAAAGTAAAGTATGTTTCACACATTATTTGAAATTTTACAAATTTACTCATTTACCCATTTACACATCCCGAGTCCAGGCGTAGGTCGCACGATCCCAATCATTCCGCAATAAGTAGGCTATAGAAGAGTTCCAGTAAAGAACAATGAATTAATTTCTCTGGACAGAGTAAACGCTCTTATCGTACGACAAGAAGAAACATGACAAATCTCTTCCATGGTCATGATCAAGCTTCACTCAAAAACTTCACGTTCTCAATTCTCTCGGAGCATGGCTAACGATGTAGCAAGAAATTCGTGTTCAGTGGACTGATGGTTCCCCGGGACGCGAATTTCCCGCAGTGAGAGAGGGGAGACGCACAAAGGCATTAGGTTTCCTTGTTTCTCTTCCTTCGACATAATCTTTCTCCCTCGTGCTTCATCTATGAGTAACGATGATCGAACTGGATGTGAACTATTCCTTTCCTTACCTGTAAATGGTCCAGTCCTTCCAGATGTTGAGGCTGGATGCGAGACAGTCCGACGGCATCCATCTCCAAACACACGGAACCCGCCCTGGCTTTGCTCAGTTTCTTCAATGCATCCCTATGGGCCATGGTGAGGGGCTCACTGGCCTTTTCCGAGCGCGGATGGAATGCTCGAGCGCTGTCGATCAAACTTCATTCTGTTGCCATGGCGACGAGCCCCATGCGACCCCCGCGTGTCCCCCAGGTTTCCGGCATTTTTTTTAAACCCCGTCATCGGCCATGAAAATTCGAGTCCAATTTCCGACACTATTGCGAACAAGTTGTGGGAGACGAGGCTCGAATGGAGGGTGGGGGTGGGGGTGGGGTGGGGGTGGGGGGTGTGGAAGGGGGAGAGGTCACCGCATTTGCGATTTGCCATTGTCAAGCATAGTCACTAATCGAGATAAGGGGTGTGATGAAGGACTGCAGGCGCATTCAGGCCCTTCGACACGTCGAATCCTCTTCGTCTGTCGAACGTCGCAATTCCTAGGTCTCATACGAGAACAGAGCCGACTGAGTTGAGTGGACCTACGTGTGAGGAGAACGGAGGAAGACATCTAAGAACGCTGGGAGAAAGCGATTTGTCTTACTTTGCAGAAGTGATTGCTCCTGAAAGTGAAGCAACCGGAATGGAAGCTGGCATCATAATGAATAGGAAAATGGGAAACACTCGAGCCTCTGATTCCAAGGTCAACAGATTACCGCCTGAGACCGTCCTCCCGGAACCTGAGACTCGGCCCGGTAAATGCGTTCCCAATCGGCTAGCCTCCTGACGTCACTCGCGCGGAGCCCACTCGCGCCATCTTGATTACGGGTTGGCGGGGAAGGCGAACGCACGATCGACGAGCGATTGGCGATTGCGAATCGCATCGCCGAGTCATTGGTTTAGCGCCTGCCTGTCGCCAAGGTGGCCCGTGTTCGACGTGGGATGGCAGGCCCCGCCCAGTAACCAAATCCCTGCATCGTTTCCATTCCCTTCGACTGCGGATCGACTTGTTTTTTCCTTCATTCGCCTGAGCATCGATCTGTTGATGCAGCCTGCTCGACCTCTCGCGAACCCCCAGGACAACGTGGAACTTGGGGGGCGGTGGCCCCCCCCATTCATCCCAAGCAACACGTGCATATAAATGGCGTTTATGCGACGTAACCGCAACGTCGTTTGGCTCGAGTCACGTTGCAGCAACGTTTCAGGGACGTCACGCGTTGCTCGGGAAGCGACACACATCTGGCAAATCAGCGGCTCAGACGAGAATCAAGTAGCTCCTATTCTCGTCTCTGTAAAAGGAGGGATGTGAAATCAATCGAAAACCATTTCTAATTCTTGAACTGTTAAACTAAGATTAAGGCTTACTAGTCTGCTCTCTTGTCTTTTCTCGAAAGACCGAAACTCGGGTCGGATGTTTTAGCCCGAAGTTCCAGTAATCCAGGAATTCTAGGAGCTAGTCCAAGGCAAACTTTATTCCTAAGACGTGCCTGAATTTCAGCCCAGACCGTCCAGGATCCACAAAGGACACCTGTCGTGATTCAGCCGATTGCACTCGCACGAACCGTGTGAGGCGCAGGCACTTTTTCTGTCGGAGCCGTCGCGACGGGTGACCCGAGTCCCACGCGCGGAGAGATCCGGATTCTCACGTGAGGGTGATATTCGGTGAGCGTTGTCAAAATCCAGCGAAAGCCAATAGATCCTTTAAACCCCCACTAACATAGCTCAAGGCCCTCACCCGCTACGTTGGGTGAGGTCTGCCAGATATCCGCCGTTCCTGTCAGCGTGCGTGAGAAGGAGGAACGTGAGGATTAAACGCTAGCGTACTTCTGATGTACCTTTGCCACCTGCACGAAGGTCATTATTTTTCATAAAAATAATACATCGCCGACGAGGCGCAATCTCGCCACTGACGTCCATACAGCATCACAGAAACGTCGCGAGGACGTCCGTCTCCCAGCAACGGTATCGCAACGTTTCTCTAACTTTTTTGCGTGGCTTGGAAGGAGCCCGAGACATCTGCTGGCTGGTTGATCGCGTGTTTCTTTTCAGGGCACAGGCATACGCGGCATGGCGGTTGTGTTTCTTTTCAGGGCACAGGCATACGCGGCATGGCGAAATAGACGCGTATCCTCGCTGTTCGACGCCTACTCAACATTTCGATTAGACTTTCTCAGGTTGCCATGAGCACGCAAACCATAAAGGCTTCTGAGAACACTCGAAGGGCTTCTGTTACGCCGCGGAACGGCTTACGGTACGTGAAGTAGGAGCCAAATCTCGATCTCAACTAAGAGCCATTTTCCGGGGGTACGAAGAGGACGGGAAGAAAATGAGGAACGCGAGCGAAAAGGGAATCGGGGCTTCTCTCAGGCTTTTTTCGCATTTTTATTTCATCATTGCTATGATGCTCGTTCGAGTGGAATGTCTGCAATGTACGGAATGGAAGGTCTACGAAAATTCATGACACTCCCCAAATCAAGTGCTTTTCGAGGCAAAAGCAATTCGAATATTGCCTGAAGGTCCGGCGGTCATCGCACGACCCAGTTTAAAATCCCAACTGGAATATTCCAGCTGGAACAAATCTGTAAATTCGGACCATTTCCAGCTGGCAAAGAGCT